GGGTTCTTCTGAAATGATTAAAAGACGCTCTCGAGTTATACTAGACATAACAATCTAGAAATTTTACCAAGAGTGAGTTAATTTTGAGATTTTAATAATATTATAATTAAAATTATCCGGATGCGTGCCCATCGGTAAAAAAACAGCTGGTCAAAAATTTGGTAAAAATTTGAACAGATGCGGAGTTTATTATGCTTGAGACGTAAGAGTGGCTGTAATCGAGTTGACGAATTTTAAATTATACTATTTACACCTACTTCTACAGGTTTGTTTCTACCGACGAGCACACCGCAGCTAAAATGACAGCGAAGGAAAACGAAGGCTTGCAATCAAATTTATATGTATAAATTAGTTAACCTCCAACTGTAGTACTTAATACAACTTGAGGTGCGTGAATAAACTTATTAAATAACTGATAAAACTATCAAAACCATACCATCTTAATAAAACTTACGTAGACCCAAATGAAACTGAATGAAAAAAATTCTTGGAGGATTTTCCAGCCCAAATTCCAAAATTCCAAGGCAAAGATTGCATAAATGATCCAGGGCTTGGTTTTTGGTAAAATATACTCGTTTCAGCATAAAATGAACTGGAATAGACTTTTAAAAACCTACATTTAACCATTAACTTATTAAATGATGATTTACCATTAATATAATGGCACAAGAAGTCATCCAGTCAGTGTTGGTATATCATATCATCGTATTATTATAAGAAAACTTCGACTTAACTTGTTGACAATAATTTAGAAACGACATATACGATTTTAATCAAAAACAGCTCAAAATAACAAAGCTTGATAAGATCATAAGTTATCAAAAAATAATAGTGGCTCATTCATTTTCACGATAAAATGCCACTCTCGGAATCATATGATGAAAAGTTCCAGATCGAATGATGCACTCTGTACAATCTAGATACACTTATGTTGCGATCATGCCCCTGAAAAAGAGAAAAAACATCAGTTTTCGAAGGAAAATAAAGACCACTGATCAGCATGCAGCCGAGAATTATTTCGGTATTAAGTTAAAACATTTTAAAAGACAATCAGTGATTTAATCACAACGAACGCCCAAATAGCTTACCTGAGAGGGGAGCTTCTTCGACTGGAGCGACTTCTGAAACGTAAGTAAATGTAATGATAGATAGTTAGCTATTAATATACTTCCCAATACAATAGAATTCTTGAATATAAGGAATTTAGTTTATTTTTAGCCCAACATTAGATTAGGGCATTCAAATTCTCGGCGTCATTTTTTGGTTGTTCTATGTCAGAATTGTCGCAAAATTCAACGTGAGGTTAATTTTGAAGCGAGATTTCGATTAGTCCCGAACATCAGTATGCTACTGACCTTCAACAATTTTCCCTACTGGTGCCTCAGGTTCTTCTGCAGGGGCAGCTACTTCAACGGGGGCTTCTACAGCAGGAGCAGCTTCCACTACGGGGACAGCTTCTTCAACAGCAGCGGCTTCTTCAACAGGAGCAGCTTCTTCGACAAGAGCAGCTTCTTCAACAGGAGCAGCTTCTTCAACAGGAGCAGCTTCTTCAACAGGAGCAGCTTCTTCGACAGGAGCAGCTTCTTCAACAGGAGCAGCTTCTTCAACAGGAGCAGCTTCTTCAAGAGGAGCGGCTTCTTCAGCAGGAGCTGCGGCTTCTACAATAGCGGCTGCAGCTTCTTTGACAGCAACAGCAGCTTCTTCAACAACAGCCGCGACTTCTTCGACAGCAGCTGCGACCTCTTCAACGGCAGCTGCGACTTCTTCAGCAACAGGAACAGCTTCTTCGATTGCAACTGCGGCTTCTTCAACAGCAGCAGCGATTTCTTCGACAGCAACTGCTGCTTCTTCAACAACAGCAGCGACTTCTTCAACAACCACTGCTACTTCTTCAACAACGATTCCGACTTCTTCAACAACAGCTTCGACTTCTTCAGCAACAGAAGCAACTTCTTCAGCAGGTGCCGCTTCCTCAACTGAAATATATCCAATCAAAAGATACAGTATTGGACTAAAGATATGGCAAGAACGATTTTTGTTTTAGTCTATTCATTTATTTGATTTGACTTTTGTTTTTTCACATGCACTTTCCATTAAAAAATATTAATCAAATCAAACCTGGGAATATTTTCTAGTCTCATCACGATCACTCGATACAAAGCAAAAGGTACGACAAATTTCTCTAAAAGAAATTCTGTTGTAATCTAAACTTTTATGCATGTCGGGCCAATTCATTTTATTATTTTGACCAAACTGGTTTACGAATTTTCTCCAAAATCGTTCTTGCCAAAAATGAACCTAACCATACTATACATCTTGAACAGAATTTCTTTTAGCACCAAAGCAAATCGATACTACAAAGATTATCAAAAGTTGCTTGATCGTTCAGAGAAGAAATTGTAAAAATCGAGAAACTAAATTGAAGAAGATATCAAGATGCTTGAAAATCCCAAATGACAAGATATGGTTTTTAAGGTCAACATTACACGGATCTGCATTTAATTTTAATAGCAAAGACGTGCATTTTATGTGCTGATCTTTGAAGAAAAAGTCAATTCAAATCTTATCACATTAATCATTCAATGATAGACACGTTAAGAAATAACAAGGTACCGCATTCAAGGATATTCAAACCTGGAGCTTGGACCACAGGTACATCTTCAGTTGCAGCAACGGCCTCAGCTACTTCAGCTTCATCAATAATATCGAAGGAGTCATCAACTGGTGCAACTGCTTCTTCGACAGGTGCAGCTTCTTCGACAACTGCTTCTTCAGCAGGAGCAGCTTCTTCTGCAGCTTCTTCTTCGACAGGTGCAGCTTCTTCGACAACTGGTTCTTCAGCAGGGGCAGCTTCTTCGGCAACAGCTTCTTCGGAAACTGCTTCTTCGACAGGAGCGGCTTCTTCAACAGGAACGGCTTCTTCAACAGGAGCTGCGGCTTCTTCAACGGGAACGGCTTCTTCGACAGGAGCTGCGGCTTCTTCAATAGCGGCTGCAGCTTCTTCCACAACAGCAGCAGCTTCTTCAACAACAGCCGCGGCTTCCTCAACAACAGCAGCAACATCTTCTGCAGCAGCAACAGCTTCTTCGATGGCAACTGCGGCTTCTTCAACAGCAGCAGCGACTTCTTCGACAGCAACTGCGGCTTCTTCAACAACGTCAGCGACTTCTTCTGCAGGGGCAGCCTCAACAGGGACAACCTCTCCTTCTGGGGCTGCTTCCTCTTCGACCGGAGCTGCTTCTTCTTCTGGAACAACCACTTCTTCCTCAGCTTCAGCGGGTTCTTCAACAGCTTCCTCTTCGGCAGCTTCCTCTTCAGCAGCTTCCTCTTCGGCAGCTTCCTCTTCGGCAGCTTCCTCTTCAGCAGCTTCTTCAGCTACCTCCTCTGCAGAAAATATGATTGATTAATCTACATACTACGAAGAATATGACACTCTCCTCACTTCATCACTTAGTTTTATACGTGCTACAAAAAAATTACCAAAATCGATCGTGGCAAAACACTGTTTAAAACAACGTTTCCAATTAATCATGATCACAGTGCAGATGTCTTAGACATCTATAACATTTAAGTTTAGGAAAAACATGGCATGTGTATACTGTAGTTCAGTTAATAGACTGACCCTCCTCAGCAGCCTCTTCTTCAGCAGCCTCCTCCTCAGCAGCAGCCTCTTCTTCTTCCTCATCCTCGTCGTCATCATCATCTTCAGGTTCTGCAGCTTCATCCACCAAGGCGTTCCTCTCAGCTCGAATCTTGTCCCAGTCTATCTCTCCAAATTTAGGTTTGAATAAGTCTGTTTTGTACGCCCAAACTGAAACGGTTTGTTTTTTAATGAAATTGTTACTTAAAAGTTAAGGGTAGAACAATTGCTGACATCCACAAAACTTGTTTCCCTTAATTACCACTTAGTCTTAACAACAAAATCTATTAACAGCTGCAAATTTAACCTTATAACCATACGCTAATCCGATATACAGCTCGGTCCTTGAAAGGAAGTAACTAAGTAAAAGTGGTTAACAGTTTCCAGACGTGTTCCCAACGTAGAGATGTAAAAGTACAGTAAAACTATGCGACTAACAAATAACTTACTGCAAAGACCAGTGATGACACCGAGACCGGTAAAAAAGAATAGTTTCTGTTGACCGACGGGCCAAGGGTTCTCTCCATCTGGATTCCTAGGTGGGCCGTTGTGGAATTTCCTGAGGGAATATCCGTTTGACGTCTAGCAATACCTTATTTCACCTATGCTAACCAAATGGATCTGTAGTCTGTAGTCTGTAGTCTGTACCCCTCTCATCTTGTTGGCTGCCAACGTTCAACAATTAAATAGATATTTCTGCCGGAAAAGGAAATCTCAAAAACGCCATCTCACCGTTTAGAACTACAAGTTATCTTACCGTTTAGGTTGTCTGGTGAGTAGTCTGCTCTGTTTTATTTGTGTGGGGACTCTTTGAAGACCACGACACATTGCCACCCTAATAGACGCCATACCCCTGACCTATGTAGTGTAGTTTATTGTACTTTGTACATTGTACATCTTCTGCTCAAAGAGACCATACAATGTACAATAAACTACAATATGTAGTGTAGTTTATTGTACATCTTCTGCTCAAAGAGACCAGTCAACTTCACTCAGAATATATTAATATACAATAACAATAACAATAAAAACGTGTAGTATAAAGTCCCGTGCAATTTGTGAGACTTTCCCTGCGACGCTTATCAGCGCTGTGTGTTCCGCAAGTCATCGCAATAAATACAAATATCTGAGTTACAAACTCGGTATCAGTCCTAATTCCGAATAACTGACTCAGTTAGAAAGCAATACAGCAGGTACTTGTAGGTTAACTAGGTAAACTGTACAATATACGCTAGCAAATGCAGGGCAATGTGTATTGTATTTTCTATACCTTCAAAGAGCACGCACATTCAAAAGGAACTATACACAAAATATACACAAATTCTCGACATATCAAGAGGTGCGCAATTCAACAGGTGTAGACTAAGCGGAAAGTAAAATTATAAATTTATACCATATTCAGTACAAAATTTCAATAACTTAACAAGATTCAAAGCAAATAAGTTAACTATAAAACAAAATATACATTTCATAATCACGTCAACACTAAAACACTGCCACAGGAGCTGCGAGATAATTGTGTGGGTTGTAATATAAACAATATAACAAGTGACAGTGTACAAAGCGTACGTGATAAACGCGGTTGAGCAAAAACCTGTTCAGCATGATAAGGAGAATCGATATTCAAACGCAGGTCACAAACACTGTGAATACAAAATAATATCATGTATGTGGGCCGAAGTTAGTTGAGGTAAATGCATATCAAATAACAGCGAGTGTACGGGAAGTAGGACTTCTGGTGCGGAATAACACGTACGGGAGATTAGTTTCGGGTTTCACAGTGTCAGTAGGTGGGTTCATATCACACTTTCAACCAATGGCTAGACTCAGTATCAGTTATGTATGGGGTGAGATTATGGTATCAGTGGCTAGAACACCTCGCGAAACACTGAAATGTGTGTACCATTCCGTCATCAGCTATCAAAGACTCAAGTTAAACCTAAACGCATCCTAGCTGATCAGGTTCAATGTTACGTGCCCCTTATTTGCCCGATCAGAGTTGGAGGCTGATCATTATCACCAGCCTCATACAGTTCCTTCACAGATTTCATCTTCTTCTTCTTCTTCCTTACTTCCTTTACTTCACCACTAACTTGAACAGCAATGTTATCTTCCACAGTTATCCCTGCAGCTTCCTGCCCGGCCCTAGCCTGATCTCCCTCGGTACATTTAGCGTACTTGTTCTTGTCCCATTTAGTTTGACCTGTAGCTGCGTTGTATCGGTCTACAGACATCTGCTTACGCCGGTCGTACGTGATTTCTTTGATTTCTAGTAGCTCCTGTCTGTCTTTCCATTCGTAGTAAAATAACACTCCGAAGGCTGAAATTAGGGAGAATGTATTAAAATTAACTTTCGTAATCATAAGAGCCGATCGATTACAAAGATGTTAGTGCGTATAATTACACGAAGAATATTATTATTAGAAACGATCCCTAAGTTGCTAATTAAGAAATCAGTTAATAATTAATTAATTAAGATTAATCCAAACTGGAACTTACAACTGAAGAAGGCAGGCATGACAAAAAATGATCTGAATCTAGAGCCCCTCAACAGTCTCTTCTCTCTTTCAGATACAGGTTTGGGTATTGGACCAGGACTGAGGTATCTGTACATCCAACTTACTGGGTTGTATCTCAGAACCTTTTTAACAACGTCACTCATTCTAACGTTCGTGGCATTCCTGAAATTGAATGTTTATAAACCCACTCACTACGTAATATAGGTTGTCAATTTCTTCACAAAACGGTGAACGATTGTTCAGTTTCATTTTTTCCACATAAATTGTTGAAAAATTTAGAAAATGTTTTCAATACCCACCATATTGTATCGGTATAGATTTGTTCAAACAAAACGTGAAATTTTAATTTTCGGTTGAAGAGGAACATACCTTGAACAAACTCTGTTCTCAACGATTTGACGTAAATGTGGAGATAGAACGGTGCGTCTTATCATACCCCCCGCCGTATTCATAGCTGTGTTATATTATCGTTACTGAGTATGAGAGTTGTGAATTTGGATAAACAGAAGTAAAATGAATATTTTCCATTTTGTAGTAAATTTACAGTTTGAATAATACTGTTAATGTCTAACGAACCGTTCAAACTTAAAAACACAACTTCAAGAACATTAAATAAACGTAAAATTCGGGGGGAAATGCGTATTTCTATAAAATGTGACTCCAGACTGTATCGAAAATATAAAAATTAAAATAACAAATTAACAAGAGCAATTACAATTAAAGATAAGATAAAGTTTCACATGCTGGCAATAAATTAACGATAAAAAGCTTAATTTAACTTAAACGAAATATGTCACACAAAACAATCAGCTGCCATTTTGAAGGGCAGGCTGCTCAACTGACCCACTCAACCCACATTTGTCTCCATTTTCCACATCTCTGTTGTTATTACTAACCTCTATCTCACCACTAACTACGTGAGCAGAATTCTCTTCGCTCAACCTGGCCTCCTCTAAAGCTGCTCTAATAGCTGGCAACATCTCCTCCTCTTTAACAATCTCCGCTACTTTCAGAGTTGTCTCCAGAGACGCCACATCTTTTCTCCTCAGCATAACCATGATGGCGCGTCTGGCATCTCCACTAGCTAGATAACACTTGATAGCGGAGTCAAACTGCATTTCCCTCTCTTGCTTACCAGCCCACTTCTCGTAGATATTCTTTATAACCTCATCATCTGGAGACAGTCTCATTTTAGCGATGGCAAGTGCCTCCCGGAAGCACTCCTCCGCGACGAGCATGGCTATAGCTTGTTTCGTCTCACCTAGTATCAGGAGATAGGAGGCGGCGGTGACGAAGTCTCGTGAGGCAGTGAGCTGGGCTACAAAGCATTTAACAGCCTCTCGATACTTGTCCATACCACATGTCACAGCCACCGAGAGAAGGGATTCAGTCACAGTTTTGGTTTGGATAGCATGGTCGATAGTGGCTCGAATGTCACTACTCCAAATCCCTAAAAGAGCTGCTTGGTGATGATGGTTCTCTGTGCTGTGGCTCCTACGCTCTTCTGCGACGAGTTCGAATGTTTTGGAACGACTGCTATACAAACCTATATCAGCAGCAGTCAACGAGTCATCACAGTAGGGTTGGTCGGTAAATATATCGTTAGCAATTTGTAGGATTTGATGAGCTTGTTCAGACTTGGAACAATGGTCACGACGTGATGCAAGAGGCAGCAGAGACTTCCCCTTGGTCCCTCTTTTGCGTTTGACATCACTAACAGATACTGTCATGGGCTCTGATTTCATGGCGGGTTCGTCAGCAGGATCAGGAGTAGTGCTGGATGGTGCTGGTTTCCTCCAGGTTAGCGCTTTATCAGACACGGAGACCACTTCCACCTTGTTCTCCGAGATAACTACGTTTTTCTTGGCGTTTTTCTTCTTTTTCCTATTGTTATTTGGTTTATGAGTGGGCGCAAGAGGGTTTACTTTCGGAGGATTCTTTTCCGTGTTTTCTGAAACCTTCCATTGCCGCACAGTAAATTCGTCAGATCCGGAGAAAACACAGTCAATCTTGGTATGAGACCACCTGACACTGAAAACCCGGCCAGCATGACCTCTGAAACTAGAAACACCAACCCCTTGTTCTATGTCCCAAACTTGAGCAGTACCGTCGTAACATGATGATACGATGTATTTGAAGTTGTGTGGGTTCCAATCGATATCCGTGAGTCGAGCAGTGTGACCTTTAAGAGTCTGGTCTGATTTGAGGATGGGTGTGGTGGAGGGAGTGATGCTAGAGAGGTCCTGTACACAGATCATGTTATCGTCACTGCAGGATCCGAGTAGAAGTTGGGGCTGATCTGATGGAGGGCACTCTACGTTCTCTTCGATAGTGGATGACTTGAAAATAACTTTATCTCCTTCATTCCTACCCCATCTCAACTTATTGATGATCCGAGTGTGATATTGGAAGACGGTAAGCAACTGAAGATTGGGAGCCTTGAATATCTCAATGACTCCATTGCTGCTTCCCACAGCAAGGAGTTTAGAGTTAAACTCCCAGTCCACAGCAGTTCGGGCTGGGGGTTGGTGCTTGTAGTTGTTCTCCGCGGCAAGATAAGAGTTAACATTTGGTGCTGTTTTCCCTAACTCCTTGGGTTTGTGACAGAAGATGATACCTTCCCCGCCACAGGAATACAGGCCCGTCTTCAGGGGATCCTCACCGAACTTGGTAGGTACATAACCCCAGCTCATAGAATATACCGGCTTTTCGTGATAAGTAGAAGAAGTGTTCATGTTTCCGGAATTTACATCGTAAATCCCAATTCTACCCTCCTCAGTTCCAAAACTCACCACCCCCTCTTTATAAGGATGCCATGCCACAACCATCACTTTAGTCCTCACACTTTGCCATACCTGAATAACTTTATTTTGATAAGGCTCCCAGATCCTGACCATGTTGTCGCCGGTAGCCACAGCGATGCGGTTAGGCGACAGTGGTGAGATGTCTAGACCATAAGCAAAGCCACCCAACCCGTGAGCAACTTTAGCACACTCCCCCTCTCTCCACAGGATTGTTTCTCTATCCATACTAGTGGTCACAACCTGGCTATTCCCTAAATCACAGATAGTGAACACTTTCTTGCTGTGTCCATGAGGGCTATCGAAAGATTTCCATTTCAGTTCTGAGATACCCTCTTCAGTCGTCAATTCCTCCAAGCGGGCTATATCGCCAGTAGCAGAGGACGCAACTATCCCGGCATCAGTCCAGGTCACTGAAGACCAAGGTTGCTCCCGGTTTAGATTGCTTTCCCTTCCTGATGATAGTTTCGGTGGATACGGAAGTGATCGGATAAGTCTGTTACTGAAGCCATCCCACAGTTTGATTGATTTGTCTCGAGATGTTGATACCACTAAATTTTCGATAGGTAAGTCTGTTGTGATGGAGGAATAAATATTTGGAAAGTTGTTTTTACACCAAGATACTCTGAATATATCCATGTCGTGGCCTTTAAGGGTGTGCATTAGAGTCATTTCTGTGCCCTTAACGGACATAATAGCAATAGTTCCCATCTTATAGCCCAAAGCTAGGAACCTCCCATCAGCATGATCTGAACAGTCCATAGTTATAATCTTTTCCGAAAACGGCTGAAACCTTGAAAAAGTCTTTCCTTTTCTCAATTCCTCCCAATCCCACACACAAACAATCCCCTTCTCGTCACCCGAGAAAAGCTGGCCGCTCTTAAAAACAAGCGCCGCCACACAAATAGGGGTCTGAAGAAGGGTCGACAACACAACCCCAGTCTCCACGCACCACGTCATCACCACACCTCCATCACACCCTGACACCAGCACGTTTCCCTCTGCGAAGCAAACCGCTGTTACCCTCTTAGGATGAGAGGAGAGCATCCTGACGGGAACCAACTCCAAGGAGAGGATCTGAACCATGTTGCGGGCTCCGTAGGCGATGTAAGTACCGTTAGAGTCCATGACATGGGACTGGTACCAGTTGGGGGCAGTGTAGAGACATTGGAGGTCTGTGTCCTCCACTGAGGTGCCATCTGTTCCTAACATTCCTAGGAGAGTGAGGTTAAGTTTGAGGTATAATATGGAAAGTTAATATAATTAAGTTAAGGGAGCAAATTTATTTTAATTTCCAAGTTGTGGCTTAAAATCAGGTATCAGCATCTACCTAGAATCACCATAATCGCCATACAATTCAATAATCCTGGTCAAGGAATTAAAATGTTCAGGATTTGCTGTCCAAAGTTTCACAATAATTGAATTCAATAAAAATCGGGGGTGATAGGTACAACAAATATTTAAGAAGAATCACACAATAAATATTCTTTAACTTGAGTTCAAAGTCAGATTACTTAAATGAATTCAGACCGGATAATGAACATTTAACAATTAAAAAGTGAGTCCGATGTTAAGCCTAGGATCAACGTTCACCCCCAGTATAGCACTCGGAAAAAGATTAAAATTGGGTAATAAACTTTTTAAATGTGTAATAAAAATTATTAAGGGTCCGATTTCACATGGCGTCTATTTCAACTCTGTCCATGTTACCCTGCATGATTGAGTGCATATCAACCAGATCGTCTGTTACATCTCCGCTGTCTTCTTCTCTAGGCGACTCATTTTTCTCTTCTTCTCTCCTAAAAGTAAGTTTTATCTTCAATGTGCAGTGAAGGACATGGTGTCAACTGTCAACTAGGAGCGACCAACACGAAATTTCAGTAGGATATGGATATCGGATCCCAAAAAGACGAAAAAAAGTTTAATCCTTAAAAATTATTTACTTGTTGCCGGGTTTGTCCGTTTTGCATTTGTAGCAAGTTTCTCGACGGGAAAAGTTGTGACCATCACATTTAGGACACAGCCAATCGTTTGGGCCTATTGGCTTCCCATCGGCATTCACGACCACCTGATGAATAAATCACTAATTAATCAACTAATTAACTAATTAATTAATTAATCAATAATGAATACATCACTAATTAATATATGGTAATATATCTATAGTGTTAACACTTCACTGAAATACAATTTTGCGATCAATTCCTCCGAAAATGGACAACTTAATAGTAATACTGCCACCTAACAGTACCTGAACTTCAGTTCTCTCCTTGCCACATCTGAAGCACTTTGTTCTCTTCACAAAGTTATTAATATTGCAGTCTTTACATTCCCAGTCCGGCTGATAATTCTTGCCCGGACCTGAACAGTTAGAACAGTTAACTTTTAGATAACAGTTAGAACTGTTAACTTTAAGATAACAGTTATAGCTGTTAAATTTAAGATAGCTTACCCATTACAATAACTCCAATAGTTATAGCTCGTCCAGGCCGAACTAAAAGTTATACTGAATCGAGGGGCTATATTCGGAACTCGAAACTCTAATACAAAATTAAATAATGAAAATCCTTCTTTAAAGATTTCAGAGTACCTGAAACCGGTCCATTCACCAAAACACACATTTCAAAACCAACCTGTTCGGGGCGGAGACCTGCCTCCTCTTTGCGGAGATCTGCCTCCTCTTTGCGGAGACCTGCCTCTAAAAGGAGGAGACCTGCCTCTGAAAGGAGGAGACCTGCCTCTCCTAGGAGGAGAGAACCCTCGTCTGGGTGGAGAGGGACCTCGTCTCATAGGTGGCGATCTGGAGCGACCACCTCTGAATGGAGGAGGACTAAATCTGCTTCGAGGAGGAGGAGGCTCATGTCTGTCGGGAAGTAGAGTTCTTCTCGCAGGAGATCTCTCTGGAAATGGTAAACTGGTATAAGGGTTAGAGGGGGGCATTCGTTGAGATGTTAAGTTTATTTAAAAGTGTTGCTGAAATTCAAACCTTTAGATAGAAAATATTACCATCTTCGGGCAAGTATGTAGCCTAACAATCATAGTTCTCGGTTAAATAGTTCTTTTGAGCGAAACACTAAGAACCTCACTAAATACAAAGTCATCTCACCTTGACCTGCAAGCTATTAATTGAAGACAAATCATTTAAGAACCAAAGACAGTGAAATCTGAGCCAACTCTTTATTACCCTTATTACCTTTTACCTCTTACTTATCTAACATTAACTCTTACCTCTTCTAGCCTGCCTCCTGGGACTCATCCTCCTCTCACTAGACCCTGCTTGATGATCTCTAGTGGCCGCCCTGACTTCTTCACACTCTTCCCTGCTCTTGTTGCACTTAAAACACGTGGTTCTGTAATGGAAGTTGTTGATCCTACAGTCCCTGCAGTCCCACTCAGTTTTAGGGCCAGACACCTGGCTTCTAGCAGGTGGTGCCGCACGACCAGGGTTGAGTTTACCGCACCAGTTGCACGATGTCTCGTCACATCTGTTGAAGGTGCCACAACCACAGGTGTAGCCATCTGATTGGACTGGCTTAGGACGATCTGCGATCAGAGGTGCATTTGTGGAGGCTCTTTTATTTTGGTTGTAAGAGTTGAACAGATCATCAGCCCCACCAGAATCACATTCATCCCGTGTCCGGCCACACTTGTAGCAGTCATTGCGAGTAGGGAAAATATCAACATTACAGAACCGACAGGACCAATCAGGCCCATGCTGCTGCCGGGCGCTGGAAGTGTCTATACGTTGGGGTGGACTCTCTGGTTCGTAGTAATCATCCGGTCTGGAGACTGGAGTTGAGAGGAGGCTCTTGTTCGAGGGACCCTTGTTACTGGGACGGTTATTAAAATTGGCTCTTGGATTAGGCTTGTTTAACTCGTCAGGCTTAGGAGTCTTGCACTTGAAACACTCGGTTCTGAAGCTATAGTTCTTGATGTGGCAATCTGGACAATCCCAGGAACTACCACCACTCTCATCCCCGAACACCTGCCCAAGCAGCGAAGGTCCTGGCTTTGGTCCAGCGTTTGGTTTAGGAGTAGTGCACTTGTAACAGTCTTTTCTCCTTAAACCGTTGAAAGTAGCACAAAGGTTGCACTTCCATTCAGCATCTTGCGATGGAGGAGGGGACATTCTCCTCGGCTGAGGTGGAGGAGGAGAGGGTGCCTTACGACGGATTGGAGATCTAGAACGTCGGCGAGGAGGCGGAGATCTACCCCTACGAGGAGGGGACATGGGCCTGCGGGGCGGCGAGGGCCCTCTCATTCTGGGTGGACTCCTTCTGCCCGGAGAGAAGCTACGACGCATACCTCTAGGTGGAGAACGGGACCTCCTTCTGGTATCGCAAAACTCCCGGGTTCTCTTACATTTAAAGCAGTCGTTACGGTTGGGGAAATTCTTTAAGTTGCAGAATCTGCAGAACCATTCCACACCCACCTGTCTTGCTTTCAGGTCCTCTGACCCTTGGCGGGTGATGTGACACTTGAAGCACTCCTGCCTCCAACCAAAGTTTGTCATCTTACACGGAAAACACTCCCAATCAAGAGCAGACTTCCCCTTGAGCATCAGTTCGGACTTCTCCTTGGGAAGAGTGCACCTATAGCACGTGATGCGCGCGTTGTAGTTGTGAGAAGAGCACTCCCCACACAGCCAGTCACCTTCTCTCATCTGATCTTTATTCCGGGAGCCCCCTCCCTCACTTCCTTCCCTCTTCGTCCCTTCTCTAGACATTTCCTACTGAATATTTAAAGAGTGGTTAACCTTAGCTTTGATTAATAACTTTCAGCGTTTATTTACCTGGTACAGGACATAACCTCAACACTGAATAGATCCTACTGCCTCCTCAGACTCAAGGACAAAAAGCCGCGTCTTATCTGAGAACTTACTAGTGGTCATGAGACATAAACTTTGGATAATTGTGACAGTGAAACACACAGAAAATGTTTTTAGATTTTAACATTGATTTCATTTTTTCTTCTCTGATAAATAAGGTATTAATGGTCAAACTCATCTGGTCAAAAGAAGACGTGTATTCAGCTACAAAACAACTAGGATTACTACATATTTTACACCGAACGTTACCACCCAAAATCATTATTGTTGATTTTGGGTGTCTTTTCATAAGATCAATCAATTCTTGGGGCATATTGAAGGACATATCGTGTGCTGACAAAAAAGAAGTCATATTATGGAAAGCGACATAGAAAGAAGTATAAAAAGAAGATGATGAAGATTGAAGATGTTAGTTTTATAAATACGTCAACACGAATACATTCATCAACAATCAACATCACCCACAAACTTTTACAATAACCTTTGCTGCGTTTCAGTTTTTGCCTACGATAGATTGTTGATAAAATTGAACGGTGTGATTCACGCCTTTATGATGGTTTTAAAGGCCTAAAAACTAAAGAACTTTCCAGATGGAGCTACGCATCTCGAAGAACGTGAAAACTCCAAAGTCTTCCCCAAGAGAATTAGTGCTACGCTTAGCACCAGTATAGGACCATCTATTACTAACACTCTTGAAATGGAAAGTACTGTTGCGCGGCCTATTCCTCATATTTTTTAACCTAACTTAAACTTTTATCCTGAAGAAACTCTGCACAAGTAGATGCACTTAACATCACTTAACGAATGGTAATAAAACTGCAAAGATTGTCTGAATTCTCGATTCTCATTGATATACCAGGGCAAATAACTCTGTAGCCCCCCTCTGTATGACCATTATATATGACAACTTCAGTCCCTTAAACCAACATTAGTCCTGCCGTCTCACACGTCTTATCTAATGTAAACATAACTTCTTAGAGCGATTAAACTAGCTCCAAAAGATCAATATCGTCCACCAAGTCAACTTCAGTTCTTCCTTCAATTCTTCCTCTCCATATCTTTCTACCCGATGTTCTTACTCTTCCACTTCAATGCCTCCATCTATAACACTCCTTCAAAAGAAGAAACCTTCAAGCATTCAACTTAGTTGGATCAGTAATTTAAATGATTAAAGAATTTTCAAAAACAGATAATTTCAATGATTCTACAGAATGTCAAAATCAAAGCAGAATATCAGGGATATAACGCAACTTGTTTTGTGTTTATAAACTTACATGAACGCTGCAAATATGTTAATCCGTTCAGATGCTCGTGATTAGGGTGTCTTGTTCGATAGATCGTCTGAGAAAATGAAGGTGATGGAAAAATGAAACTGAAAGGGAAAGTGAAACTGAAAGGGAAAGTGAAACTGAAAGGGAAAGTGAAACTGAAAGGGAAAGTGAAACTGAAAGGGATGTCCAAAATACAGAAATAGCTCACAATCTGTGGCTCATGTTGAATAATATACATTATAAAAGTTACAAACTTACAGATAAGTGCTAGTTTGCAAGTCACTTTCACTGCTCAGCTGTAGTATTTCATCCTAACGGTACCTCCTCGTCCTGTGGAATGATTCCAACACCATCCGGTGTTCCTTTTAAAAGATCAGTCATATCCTAGAAACTAGGCTATCCACTCCGATAATCTTTACCGATAATTATCTCCGATAATTCGTAAAAAAAGGTTATCTGTTTATCTAGATAAAACATATTTTTATCGGTATAAAAATTCACTAGAAATTACCAAAAAAAACTGCCACAATACCGTAAATTTTTAAAGAAATATTAATGTTTTTGCCTTCCCAAGTAATCCAAGAAACAGTCCCAAACGTCTTCTAGTATGATAGAAGAGGTAGTTTACTTAAATGTGAGCTTAAGAGGTTTATTTACATTTGTATACCTATGGAACTGTAGAACTGTAGAACTGTAGAAGTCTAGAGAAAGTTATTGACATTGTTATCTTGAGGCTAGGGTTCTGGCGTTCTACCTTACAACCATTCTGGAAACAGGAACGAGCATGTTACTGTTAACAAGAGTCAAAAAACCGGCAGGGCACACAATAAAATTCCGTAAGTGTTCTAGGCGTGAAACATTGTCTTCAGGAGAAGGAATCTGTTGCTCCAAGTTATCCACAGGATAAGGAAACGGTTCACTGTTCATCACTTTAAATGCTTTACTGTTTCGAGGAGAATTGGTATTCGTTGCACTACTGTTCTCAGGAGAAGGAAACCGGTGGTCTACTGTTTTGAAGAAAACTGGTGCACTACTGTTCTCAGGAGAAGGAAACCGGTGGTCACTGGTCTACTGTTTTGAAGAGAACTAGTGCGTTACTGTTCTCAGGAGAAGGAAACCGGTGGTATACTGTTTTGAAGAGAACTAGTGCGTTACTGTTCTCAGGAGAAGGAAACCGTTGGTGTACTGTTTTGAAGAGAACTGGTAGTACACTACTGTTCTCAGGAGAAGGAAACCATTGGTCTACTGTTTTGAAGAGAACTCTAGTGCTTTACTGTTCTCAGGAGAAGGAAACCGTTGGTGTACTGTTTTGAAGAGAACTGGTAGTACACTACCGTTCTCAGGAGAAGGAAACCGTTGGTCTACTGTTTTGAAGAGAACTGGTACACCACTGTTTTTAGGAGAAGGAAACCGGTGATCTACTGTTTTGAAGAGAACTGGTACACTATTGTTCCCGGAGAAGAAAACTAATGCTCTAATATTTTCAAAAGAAAGGAAGTTGTACTTTAGCAAGATTACTGGTAAACAGTAATAAATGTCGACAATTAGTTTCTGTGAAATTCGGAAAAATTTCGGCTTTGGCCTTCAGCAAAAAAATTATCGGTTTTATCGGTTTTATCTAGATAAAACCTAAATTTTTATCTGTTTATCTAGATAAAAGATTTCATACCGATAATGGATAGCCTACTAGAAACATAACAACTATTTATCATATAGCAAATAAAAGGTTCGAATACAAAAATCAGAGAAGAATCAGAACATGAATTTGAATTATAGTCTTGGATGATGCCAATCGTAGTTGACGGCCTAGTCACAAATATTGAAACCAAATTACATATGTGCGATTTACCACTACTTGGTGTACTTATAATTGTCTATAATATATAAATAGGTCATCGGTTGAAACAGTTAAAGGGAACAAATTGAAGAAAATAAGAAAATGATTTATGTATTATATCTTTATATTATGATAAACGCTGATACAGCAACATTTAACGTCCGTGTCTTGCCCCAAAATCTCATACTCCAGAGCTATTGTTTTAACCCCAACCCTGACTAGACCCCTTACTCCCTGACGAGGCTCTGGGGTACAACGCTTCCAGGCAGGACGTCCTGGTTAACCTTTTTTGCGTGGTAATTGGTGGATGGGGAAAGTTGAAGATTCAACTCGTCGCCCGATTCTTTGCAAAGTTTTTAAACGGGAAATCGCCTTTCAAACATGGAACAAAACATATGCACAAAAAAACTGGAAAATTGTCAACATAAAATGCGAAAGTAAAAACAAATAAGCTATTTAATGTTATTAATATTATGATTGTAATAGTGTATTTGCAAAATTAATAAAAACATGCCATCTGTCCTCTCGGCCCTCAGTTTAGTAGTCCTGAAAAGCAACATCTTGGTCCGAACAATTGTCAGGTGTTTTAAGTTCCTCGTGGATGTCCACTGATGGATCGGGATCTAATTGCACTGTCTTTTCAACTTTGTCAGACTTCTCCTCGACTTGGTCAAGTTTCTCCTCAACTTCACCAGACTTCCCATCTTTTTCTTCAGGTGCTTCCTCGGTTTGCTCTGACGTTTCCATTGCTTCTTTCTCCGAGGATTCCTCGACAACATTTTCAACGACATTTTCTACAACGTTTTCAGAGGCATCCTCAGTCTTTTCCTCACTTTCAGTCCCCTCACTTGGTTTGGCATCATCTGTTGCAGCACTTTCTCCCGCTTCCTCGCCCTCTTTGACACTGAGAAATTCACAATGATGACAAACAAAGATAAGAAAGAATTTTGTTAATATTACAAACGTCAATTAATTAAATAATGATTCAATTGAAGACTAAACTAAATGCTTAGCTAAATAAATACCTAACGATAACATGACCAATTAATAGAAATTATCTTTAAGAAGACATTTAAATTAAGTACCCCTAAGTAACATGTTAAATGTGTTAACATGTGTTAACATGTTGAGTAAACTCACGGTTTATCTGCTGCGCACTTGAAGCATTTCTGGCGCTGAGCCCAATTATAGGCTAGACACTGAACACAATCCCAGTCCAGCTCACTTCCCTTCACATCACGGAACGACTGTTAAAGAAAGAGGTCTATTAATTCTTGAGATCAATTATGGAATCATTTAAATGTAATAAATTATCGATTCATAACAGGCATTAAACGGATAAAACGAATTATAATAACGCTAGTAAAAGTTTACAGAGCAGCTTATCATAAGCTAAGTAGCTAATTAGGTGACCCTAATTACTAATTAGTGACTGATTAGTAATAACCTTCTGATGCAGAGAGCAGAGACTATCATAGTTCTTCTGGGCTGTCAGCGCCTCCTCCCCCTCAGGGTCCTTCTTCTTACTCTTAGTAGCTAGCCTCTTAGCAATCCTCTTTAGTTTTATCATCTTCCTACCATCAATCTCACCCTCTGCTATCTTCTTATCCGGGTCAGCTTCACACTCGGCCCACATGGCCACGTATTCCTCTATTACCTCCGGCAGGGTCTTACCTCCCCATTCTTGTTCAAAGTTTTTGGGAGTGTTGGGTGGTATGGCTGTTTTGTTTGCCTCTGCAACTTTCTCCTGAGAAATAAACTTGGTTGAAGACACAATTTACAACTTGTATATATATATATATATTCCAAATTTTTGATAATCTACAATTTCTACGCGTGTGAGTTTATTTTTGGGCAATCTCTTACATAAACTTAAGAACCCCGAGCTAATTTAAATATTTGATAGATTGAGCTTCTGGTCCCTTTAAATAAGATATCGTTAATCACCTCAACCTCCTCTTTCTTTCTAGAGCATTGCCTACATGTAGTCCGTTTAGCAAAGTTTGTAAAATCACACTTTCCACACTTCCAGTCAGGGAAATACTTCTTTTCTGAAGACAATTATAATTAAATTAACTTTTAATTAGCAATATTTGAACTGGACAGCTGAAAAACAAAAACATTATTCTGAGTAGTCACAATTTAATTTGATAATCAGTTCATTTAAAGTACCTTCTTTTTTCTTGCCAGCTTGAGCTGTTTTGTTCACTTTTCTATTAGGAGAAGGAGGGCGATTTCTGGGGGTGTTGCTGTAAAATCGCGGAGGTGATCTACTAGGCCCTGTGTCGAATAATGTTAATGAGTTCAGCTTCAGTCAGTTCAGTGCAGGCTCCTTGATTTGCTTTACACAAAACTAGGTGTTCTAAAACTGTTTTGTTCGATCTGTCTGATGTTTTTTAAACAGGCTGTAAACTAAATCAATAAGACCGCACTGAACTGATATAAAATGAGATTTTTGTCAATTCAGTTGACGTGAATATCGATACCGAAATTTAAAACTATTAAAGAGATTTAATTCAAGGGTAAATTCACATCACTAGTGACATTATAGATTCAAAATGGCAGGGACAATGCAGTAAATCAGCTTCCTCCATGATCGAAAAACTACGGATACCAAGACAGAGGAACTGTTAGCTGGAAAACGGACCATTGATGTGAAGCATATCAACAAAGATAGACAAAAAGCTGAGCTGACTCAAGCTGCAGTCCAAAAACCTAGCCTTACCTCCACGCATAGGGTGATCTCTTGGTCGGTGGTCATTCGGCCTGCCGCATTTCAAGCAGTCCGGTTCTATCATCCGGTTGAAGTTGCCGCATCGGCATGTATACCCCTGTCCAGAGCCACCCGGCATGTCCCTCCGTTCCGGACCATACCGGTCTCGTGGATCTGGACCACGTGGATCTGGACCTCTTGGATCTGGACCGAATCTGTCCCGCGGGCCCGGACTAAATCTGTCCCTAGGACCTGGACCATTCCTGTCTACATTTCCAAATTGGGGACGTGGATCGCTTCTTAATTCACATTCCTCCCTGAAGCGTCCACATTTGAAGCAATCAGGGCGCTTCGGAAAAACATCGACTCTACAGAAGCCGCACACCCAATCTGGTCCCCACTGGGTTCTGGGGTTTCCAGGGCCAGCAAAACAGGGCGCTCCTGGCCCTGGATTGGGCCTGGGTCGTTTAGCTGGAGACATGGGAGAGTCAGACTTCATGCTATGATTCAGAACTACCTGAGGGTTATCTTTTGGGGTGTTATCAATGGTAATAGACAAGCTCAAATCACTGCCTTGAGCAACAGTCTCTTTAGCAGCTTTGCACTTAAAACACTCTTTTCTCTGAGCGAAGTTCACTACGTCACACGCTATACAAATCCACTGTCCCTTCTTCAGTTTCTTACCATTACCCGGTCCCGATTGAGCTACTGGCCCAATTCTGGAATGAACAGAACTGTTGGCAGGGCCTGCTCCGCCGTCTCCTCTAATAGTAGTACACTTGTAACAATCGTTCCTCATCGGACCATTGCTTGTAAAGCACAACATACACTGCCACTCTCCCTGAGTACCACGCTGTGGTGGCACAGAGGCCTTGTTGAGAGGGGAAATAGCCCGACGGGGAGGGGACGGTAACAACCGTCTACCTCCTCCGGGGGGAGATCTAGACCTGCCTCGGTACATTGGTGGTGGGGAGGGACCCCGCATAGGGGGACTCCGCCCTCTGGGGAACATCCCGAAACGTGGAGGGGATCTGTCCCTGGGGTACCCCATCATTGGGGGAGGGCTCATTCTCCTCGGGGGACTCATCATTCTCCGGGGTGGGATTACATCTGCCATATCCTTGGCTCTCTTGCACTTGAAACAATCCATCCTGTGTGCAAAATTCTCCAAGTTGCAGAACCTGCACAACCATGGAACTCCCTCTCTATCTGCCTTTATATCGTCAGATTCCCGCTTGCTGATGAAACACTTGAAACAAGTGTTTCGAAAGCCAAAGTTCTTAGCTTTACATTTATAGCAATCCCAGTCAAGAGCAGATTTGCCCTTCGACCTCACCTCAGACTCCTGTTTGGTCATGGGACACTTGTAGCAGACGACACGAGCGCTGAAGTTCTTGGCGGTGCAACCAGCACAGAACCATTCTCCCTCTCTTAGAGACTGAGCTGATTCGGGAGCCTTGCGTTTCATAGACATACCAGGCTATTGAATGTTATTTATTATACTATTTTGTAGTATTATTTTGTAATAAGTCACGTGTCTAAAGTTTACTCTTATTAAATGATTTAAGACGTAGAATAACTGCAGCTATTTAGATGGCCTTTATTATCGAATTTACAATCTTGATTTAAGAAAACATTCAACAAACTCCGTGCCGTTATTTCACTGCAGAAGATATTTCTTTAGCTGCTTTTAGTAATTTAAGACAGATACTTTGGTATTTTGGTAGTAGCTTAAACCTAAATATTGAGAATGCAATTGAGACGATTAGTGAAAGTTCAAACTCGGTACTTTTAAAAACATCAATTTTTATACAAAGATTCATCTGAAAGTTGATTCCTAAGAGGAAAAAAATGGTAATTGTAATGTTAACTTTGAATGAAACCGGATAAAATAAAGAATACTGACATTATCCTCATAACAGAGGAGTTCATTAATACAAATAATTTATTAATTTAATTGCTGAATGCTTCATTTCACTTTTTCAGGACGCTCTATCAAAACTAGAGTCACATCTCAAATCACTGTATTTCGTTGGGTGGCAGAGAGAAGAAGCGAGGGAATAACATTAAAACTTATTCTATCCGCTTGTAAATTCGCTTAGCTTCCGTCCCCTTTGGAGACTCCAAATTGAGGACCATGGTATCGTCATCCACCAGCTGTCTGACAAGAAGATACTCAAAACTCTCCGTTCTGTGCAACTCCCTGATTCCTTCATCCACCCATGTTGTATCCACTTCAGCGCTCTCTCCATTAATCTCCACCTCGGAGAAAGTCCCCCCGACATCGTACTCTTGGTGTTTGCCGGATCCTAACCCAGCTGCTTTCACCACCACCTTCATGTGTTCTCCCTCCTGTTCAATGTGGTGTTCCGAGCTGACAATCCCGGCGGCCGTTCGTTTCAGGTACCCAACGTTGCAGTCAACCATGAAGGGATCAAAGTTCTCGGACTCCTTCAGTCTCCATTTTCCGGAGAAGTTGGGAGACCCGGGTGGGGAAGCTGAGCGGGTTCTCTCGGGAGATCCGGGAATTGGAACTGATCCGGGGACTGAATCATCAGCTGACATGTGTGCTTCTTTTTAGGGAGCTAGGGAATGCGCTGTTAAGGTGGATAGTTAAATATGAGATAAATATAGTCTTGCTACAGTCATTAGTTTTCTATAACAATGTAAATTTGAATATGATAGTAAGATTTTGATCTTTGAATTTGAAAAGAAACCTTTAAAAAACCAATCTTTCGAAAAAGCTCTAAAACAATAATTAAGAGTATCAGGAACAATCAGCGTCATACCAAGAAGTGCTACCAGAGAAATCACAAAATATTTAGGAATTCGCCCAGAGGCTGGGAGACAATATTCCACCCCGATCCTAAAACCCTGACCAAAATCCCAAACATAATCAAAGTTTCAACCCTCCCCGGGCCGTGGGATAGTGTCCAACTCTAGTGCACACACAAACCGGAGTTTGTTTAAAACACCAAACCGTTCACACTACACACCTCAAAAGGGTGTCCGGTATAATGTGCATTCTCCAGGAGACGGTATTTTAATTATTAATATCTAGTTTTGAAGTGAAACTTCCACATCCCGCCAACGATAAGAACACATATTAAATTACCTATGACGTCATAAATACTCAAATCTCACCGGAGACTCTCCTCTTCTCGATAAAATCCTGGTACTTTCAGCGCGGTTAAAAATACCAAACACAAAGTTTCTCATTTTAGCAGGTTCACAAGTAAAAGGTAAAAATTTACAGAACCAAGGAATATAAAAAAGACTCTCAGCAGTCTCAGTCTCTCTGGAGTCTCGTTACTCCTCCTTCTCCTCTAAACCTCTTCTCACTCCACACTCTGAAACAAAGAGTTCCAGGTTTCAATCAGTTCCAGATGACCTCACGGTTCGTCAGTACATGTCATATCTGGTTTACCTCACCAACTTTCGGTACCATACATATTGAACTTTTGAGGACAAATCAGAGCCTTACACAGTGTTTAGAAATTTAGCTACTCCACCGACACGTGATGCCCATATAAGGTAACATGAGCATTTGCACTACAGGAACAGAACTCGCTGAGATCCATGCGCCACAATTCGAATTTTCCTACTAACATAATTAATAAACCAGAAAACATCCAGATTAAGACTAACCTTAAATCTCCAGAAACACGTGACTACCATGTACCAGCAACAGCAGCACTCTCCTCCTCCGCTGGTTTGGGGTCCTTGCAGCGGTAACAGTCTGTTCTCCTTGAGAAGTTGTTACCCCCGCAGGAACCACAGGTCCAATCACCGTCCCGTACCGGTCTACTCGACTTTTCTAGACTTCTAGGGGGAGTGCACGATTTTATATGGGGATTTTACAGTTTTGTATAAGTTAGTTACATCCGCTTTAATATTGCAGAAGAAACAATGTGGCTGCTTGGCTGAATTCGAATTTTTGATTTTTGGACGTTAAATGATTTTCAAAATTATAAAAGTTCCCTGATCAAACAAAACACGATCCCGGACACGCACCTTGAATCAATACCGTGGCCCTCTTCCGGCTTAGCCAGATGACACTTAAAACAATCCGTCCTCTTACTATAGTTCAACCCGTGACAATCCGGGCATATCCAATCAGTAGGAAACCTCTTCTTTGGGATACTGAGGGGACCATCTGGAGGTGAGGACTGGGGTTTGTAAGCAGAGTAGGTGGCACGTGGTGGTTCTATGTAAGGGTTGTCACGTGGGGCTGTGTGGTCACGTGGAGGCTCTGAGTAGGCTCTACCTTCTCGTACTGGGAGAGGGGGGACTGTTAGGATACAACAGAGTATGTCGGATAAAGTTAAAAGTAGCAGGATACAGGATAAACATGAAAAACCCTGAAATGGGCCCCTGAAGTGATATACTAAAATGAAGTGTAGACACTTTATGATGATACTTGGGGTAAATAATTAATCACCAACCCATAACACCATCAAGCGGCTTCTTTTCAAAGCAGCGGTAACAGTCGAACCGCTTGTAGAAGTTATTGACTCCGCAAACTGGACAGGGCCACTCTGCTTCGCCTGTTAAAGGATCTACGTCCGGCGCGCGCTCCGGGATTGCTCCGGGATTAAACCTGAAACACAAGGGATTGCAACTCTGTTAGTGATCAGGCTTATATATGAAATTTTGTGAGATAGTGTTCCATTCCGATGCCTGTCATAGCCGACATTTCTCCGCGACAAAATGCACATTGCATATGTATAAACAGTGCACATATACATGAAAATCTTATCCCAGTCTTAAATACCTCCGGTTTGATCTTAAATACCTGATAGGTGATCTCTGTCTGTATCCTCTCTCAGGGGTGGGTGATCTGATCCTTGACATGTTGATTCGCTGTTCCGCCTGATAAGACGGCTGGTGAGATCGGTTGTTGCTGGAGTTGTAGCTTCTGGGTTTAGGGAGGTGACATTTGAAGCAGTCCGTGCGTCGGGAGTAGTTCAGGACCCCACTGAAAAATAGGTTTTTTTATTTGTTTGTTGTTACTATTTTCAATTTATTAAGAAGAAAAAAATAAGTTGATATGACCTGACAAAGTTCAATAGTTTGAGTCTTAAAATTATAGCTGTAGAAAAGCCTTGGTGAAGATACTACAAGAATGACCATAGCATAAGTTTATCACAGGTATCCACGAACACCCACCAGTCACAAAACCACGACCCATCTCTAGCTTCCTGCCCGCCAGGACCAGCTCCTCCAGGTCCTCCAGGTCCTCCCGTAGATGATATGAACCTCGGCTTTGGCTCACCACACTTGAAACAGTCTATCCTTCGGCTGAAGTTGTTTCCTTTACAATTCCGACATTCCCAGTCGTTGGGATGTTTAGGGTCTATTGGAGGTTTGCGGGCGTGGCATTTGAAGCAGTCTATCCGGCGTGAGAAGTTGTTAGAGCCACATTTGTCGCATTCCCAGTCTTCCGTGAACACGTCTTTCTTATCTTTACCCTGACAGAGATGGAGTTGTGAGGGGGAGGGGGAACAAACAAGAAATCTTGTAATTTTTCACGTGTTTTCCTGATTTCTTTCAAAGAAACAGAGTATTAGGGACTTCTCTATTTTATTGAAATTTATCACAAATAAAAAAAAACGCCTCAAGCAATGAACTAGCTACTTTGATTGGGAACCAGCTTTGTTTACTGGTTAATGTTTACTCAGGAGATTATACAATAATATTATAATATTATACTATTTACTAATATTAGTTAAAATAAACCGAACCAAGCCTCACCTTAGGGAGTTTGCACTTTGAACACTTCTCTCTATTTATATCATTCTCGTTACTACAATTCTTACAAGTCCATCTGGGTGATTGGTTGTTTGGGGAGTCGGATCGGTGGGGGGAGCGAGACCTTGATCGTGACCTGTCCCCTTTACTGCTACCCATATCTAGTAGAGGTTATTGTGATTAGTTAGTTATAACTTTATAATCAGAGGGATTAGTTAGCGTGTTATTATAACGGAAAGTTGGAAAACTGCCAGTGGTAACTGAGATAGGTGTGGAGAATAATCACAGTAGTCAATTAAAGAATACAAGCAATTATAAATATGATAATACCAATTCAGCAAAACATTACCAAACATAAGGGAGGGGGCTAGTTAAACGTACTAACAGGGGGAACGTACTAATGGGACTGGTTCATATCATAAATATAATAAATAAATAATAATTGTAATTATTTATTCATTTAATAAGCCTCCAAAGATACATCTCTACTTCTCACACAAATATCTAACACTATACTTGATTTAGACCGTGGTGAAATTATATTTTAGAGTGCTGTGATTCGGATAATTCTTATAAAAAAGTTTGTAAAAATGTCAAAAATTCGTTACCTTCTGTGCATGTCAAGGTAGGTAACACAACAATAAGTTCAGAAGAACTGAAAAGAAGAACTCCAGTAAAGAAGAACTTTACTGGAGAACATTTTAAAAGCATCTGTAAGGATATCAAGATGATATCGCTTACTAAAATAAGATATACAAGTCGTGATAAATCGGTCTCTCTGTATATTAAGTACTGTTATATTGGCATAACTAACGATTTGAAACTGATTCAACCACTAAATTTGAGGTCGTCATAAAACAGTATTCCAGTCTCAATGGCATTCTCAATGGGTTAAAAATCAGGGATCTACAATCAAGCGTAAAACATCTTCTTATCAGCGGCTCTAATAACATGAGCACATCAAAAAAACACTATCAACATAATTGATAGTTCTATTATTAAAAGCAAATACCCGCATATACGTAATATAATGTATAACAATATAACTAGTAATAGTCCTCTTTAACTTATATAAATTAAATAAGTAATTAATTACTTGTAATAATATTACAGTAATATAATTACTAATATTACTGTTGTAAGGTTTTGTACTTTTGGCTCTTTTGCACTATAAGCTTTGGTAATGGATAATATACGGAAAGCCATAATTGATCATTTTCATTTATATTATGATAAGATTATAGAAACCTGATAGGCGATTGAAAAAATTAAAATTTTAACGCCTGGGTGAACATTTGAAGACAATTTTATAATTCTGTCAGCTGAATCTTAATTAACATACCTTGCAAGAAATAAGGCTGTAGTTATATCATATCAATCAATCATTATTATAGAAAAACTGTTAATGAATAATTTAAGAAAGTAATATTAATTAATATTAAGTAACATTACTTTAATTAATTAAAGTAATATTAATTAAAGAATCAAATGGTATTGGGCGCTTTCACCCAAATTAAACAAGTTTTATTTTCTAAAACCATTCTGTTTTCAAAAGGGTATATAATATAGTCAGCCAACACTTAGAAAAAAGGCTGATTAATTATCTTTAAGGACTACGTCTGACAATCGATAATTATCTAATTAACTAATTAATTGACACAATTAAGTTCCTAATCCTCCAAGAGTGGTTTAGGATCTTCACACTTGTAGCATTTAGTTCTCCGGGCCCAGTTGTTCTCCCCACAGGAATCTGGAGAGTAATAATTAATTGGAGAGAAATTAATTAACTGTCGGTTTTTCTACTGATTAATAATTATCAGAACAATTTGAAGTAGAATTGGTTGAATTACTGATTTCAAACCGATTCAAAGAATTCGGAGCGAACATGAGAAGAAATTTCAGAGGAAAATAATAAAGATTAACAAAGTTCATGTCAGAAAGGACATAACAAACAGATGTTCGCGAACAGGTGTTCGTGAACAACTTATGATGGTTACCAGATCATATGACTGCATAATAACAGTACACAGACTTGCCTGCAAAGTGCGATGATGTGAACCCCTTGACACTGAATCAAGCAGGGTTCACATCATTGCAGGCACATAATCTTTTACTTGAACAGTGACAAATTTTAATTTAATTTAAATTTATCGCAGATTATAGTAACAGACTGAAGTGTCGCACAGTTTACCTACCATACTATAAGTTATATATTGATGCAAGCTAGTAAGGTATTTTGATTCTTGATGCAAGGAAACAGTGGAATTATTATAAATTAGAACAGCCTTCTTTTACTTGAACATTTACAAATTTTAATTTGACACCTTACTAGCTTGCATCAAGATATAACTTATAGTATGGTAGGTAAACAGTAAACTTTGCTACACTTCAGTCTGTTACTATGATCTGTGATAAATTTAAATTAAATTAAAATTTATAAACAAACACCTGTTCGCGAACAGGGGTCGGGCTATCTGGATACTGCCGAATATCACAGTGCTGGCAAGCACGACCGTGGCTCGCAACGTCCACTCAAAATTTGCACGTGCGAAAGGTAAGAATTTTGCTCATTCGTGATTTCGAACAAATTGTGCTTTGCCACGACAATTCAATGGCATTATATATGAATTTAATGCCAACTTGAATGAGTATAATGTGGCATGTTCAGTCAGTGATCGACCGATATGCTTACCTAAACACAAGGAAATGTTTTCAAAGGAAAAATTTCGAAATCGAAATCGAAATCGTTGAAATTACCTCCTTATCAATGAAGATATCAGTTTACATTTCGACTTTATAAAGTACACTGACATTAATCTTGATGATGACTTGATAAAGCTTCACTGGTTAGATGTAAAGAAAAGGATTGTCTTCAAAATCTTGCTACTATCTCATAATCAAGTCACTGTTAGGATTGGCACCAACTTATCTGCAAGACATGTTCAAGTATTCTCACCATGGTCATTCATTGAAGCTTATTGTTCCTTCTTGTAATTCAAAGTTTGGTGAGCGTAGCTTCTCTGTGGTGGCTCCAAAGATCTACAATCGTCTGCATGTTACCATCTCCTCAGCTCAATCCCTGGAATCTTTTAAAGCTCTTTTTTTAAAACTGCCCCTAGATGGACTTGAAAAACTTCATCGATAACTATGTTGGTCAAATTTGGTTTTCGATCTTTGCATACGTAATATATTTAATTACCATTTTCTGGCTTTAGTATTGACGATATATTTTCAAGTATAAGTTACCTTCTTAACTCAGTATTTATGATATTTTTTGGGATGACTAGTTCTAACACTGCTTAGTATAAGTTTTATCTTATAAGCGGTGTTATTAAATTTCAATTTATTATTATTATTAATCAAAAAGAGATGATATTTGACCAAAACCCATAATTGGGTAGAGTGGACCGCTGCCAGAGTCTCTCTTTTATTTCCCAAACAAAAGGAAATGATATTAATTTGAATGAGCGTCTGCAAATGGGAAAAGCGAGCGACCGATTTCATTCTCGGTATCATTTTGCATTTGCAGACGGTCATTCAAATTAATATCACTTCCTTTTGTTTAGAAAAGAGAGACACTGGCAGCGGTCCACTCTACCCAATTATGGGTTTTGATCAAATTAATATCAGATAATAAATAAATAATCAAATAGATAATAAAATAAATAAATAAATAAACTTACCACAAGCCCAGTCCCCAGGTTGTACTCCTTGTCTCTTATCTTGGACAACCTCGTTCTCTCCCTTGTGTTCTCCACATCCTTTACATGTTTCCCGACGGGCAAAGTTGTGGAAGTTACCTAAAATAAATAATAATGTAAGTAAGATACAGCGGAATAAAATAAGTAGAAAGCCAAGGAATAAAGTGATTTAAACACATTTAAAAGTAGAGTAAAAGTAGAGTATAGGTAATCAAAAGGGCAAAGGCACATGGAATCAACTTTTGTAATTTGTTAACGATCCACGTTTTAGATAAAGCAAACTCTCCCTACAAACAGTAGACTCACATCCAGCACACATCCAGTCTCCGTTTCTGACGGGGTTACGTCCCATAGCTCCACCTCGGGGAGGCGGTGGGGGACCACGTGAGTAGTACCCGTCATTAGGGGGGCCGTGATTAGGGGGGCCGTGATTAGGGGGCCCGTGATTAGGGGGCCCGTTATTGTAGTAGGGACTAGAACCGTGGTAATGATTGCTGTCTCGGTGGTCAGCTGAAATTTGTTGTCAATTTGTCGTTGATGATTAAGTATAGTCAAATACGTAGATGAAGTTATAATCTGAACAACGGAAGACAAAACTATGATAATAAGATCTACTTACAAGCGTATTTTGGAGCCTGGCATCCAAAACAGTAAGCTCTTCTGGCAAAGTTGTTCATGTTACAGTTCATGCAGATCCAGTCATTTCCCTCGGGGCGCTGCTTCCGGCACTGAAAGCACGCAGACCTGCGCGCGAAGTTGTGAGTACCGCACGTGCTGCAGCTCCAGTCACCATTCCTAAACTCAAACTTGTCTGACTCGCCCGCAGTTCCATCCTTGTGTGCTTTGCATTTGAAACATGATTGCCTTCTGGCGAAGTTGTTGGCCTGAAGTGTTATTGTGCTTAGCTATCGATGTGTAAGCATTTAAATCAAGAACGAAATTTTCACAAGAATATATCAGTCTGGTATCCTTGAACATAAAACACCTGTATATATATATATAGTACGTGTCTTTACCTTGCAGCTGCTGCAAGTCCAGTCCCCGTCCCTCACTTCTCTGGATCCTACTTTATCTTCTGCATCTGGTACAGCCTCTTCAATCTTTTCTTCAATATTCTCTTCAATCTGGCTCTTCAATCTTATCTTCAATCTTCTCTTCAATCTTATCTTCCATCTTCTCTTCCGTTTTCACCAGTTCTTCCAGCTCCTCCAGTTCTTCTTTAACACCAGCCTCTTTCTCGATCACAACATCAACACTAGATTGAGGAGATATTAGAGACCACGTTAGTTGCACTTGTGAGATATAAAGATGAGAGACTGTGAAACTCAGTCAATGTAGCTGAAATTACAAATTTTAATTCAAGAGTAGATAGGGGTCGTTCACATATTCATTTATCATTTTTTGGAACATTTTTACCCGGAAACCCCCCCCCCCCCCCCCCTCAGCTGATTACGTAATATGTGAACGACCCCATATTATAAAAAAACATTACCTTTTCTCCTCTTTGCTTTCAATGACGCCATCTTTTATGTCATCTTTAGGTTTCTGGCAATCGATACAGTGTGTCCGCCGAGCAAAGTTGTTGACCTCACAGGATTCACATGTCCAGTCCCCAGGGAGAATCTCACCACTGCCCATGGCTAAAATATGATAAAATTAGCTGCTAATTAATCAATTAATTAAATTAGCTTAAGATATTTAGGGACCTATTATTGACCCAAGTTGAAAATTTTTTGTTGTTGATGTTTTTAGATTCTTAATAAATACAAAGCTTAAAATGAAGTGAATCATGTTTTCCATACTTAGCAATAATACTAGCTATTGTTTTATGTGCTTCTTTAAACAAAGTGCACATTTAAACACTCTAGAAAACTAAGAGATCGTAAAATAAGATCTGCAATAACTGAATCCTACAAACTAATAAAGTGTATACACATTCCTGAAGTAACAAAGTCTACAACACTTCACGATCACAAAAATTAAATATCAATCTGAACGTCAACGTAACAGTAACAGCAAGAAATAAAGTTAAATAATATAATCCACTCAAAAGTTTTTAGAACCTAATCCCCACACTTGATTTCAAATTTGTCAAAAAGTTATTTGGAACATATTTTTTGATGCAATTAATCAACCTCTCAAACTATTTTATATAAATTACTGAGCTTTGCTTTTTCTAGATGTGATATCCCAAGCGTACATTAATTTTCTGATAGCCGCTAAACTGAACAAGTGGCTGCACAATGTGGTAGCACCTGAAATGAAATCGTTTACACAAAATACAAGAAGGATATAGAAGTATGTAATCTAGAAACTGGTGAGGTGAACCTATTTGATTTGTCACGTGACAGCAACTTTTGGTTTTGATTGATACTGTAAACTTATTGGTTTGTCAGTGTCACGTTTTATTGACACTTATAGTCCACTTCAGTATCCGTATATATGTTGTAGAATAATGTTCTAGAAAACTGTTTGATTACCTTACAAGACATATTTATAACGTACGAAATGTGGCGGTTTTCCGAAAATTTCGCCATATTTTCGGACCGCCAAAATTTCGGTCGTCGTAATAGAATCCGTCGCATTATCTTTTAGCTTATTTCAATGACTGTGCCTTCACTGCTTTATTTTGTTTCTAAAAAGTAATATCAAGTAAAATAAATAAATAAATTCTGGCATCTTGGGACAAATTATCACCACACCAATGACGAATTGAATGTCAAGCAATACAGTTTAAATTTGCATTAAAATACTTGTATGTGCTTACATGAAAGTTTTACAGTCTTAAGGGGGGGGGGGGGGGGGGGGGGGGGGGGGGGGGGGGCCAATGGGTATTTTTTTGTGAAACTTGATTTCGAGATAGCAATTGACCAACAAACTAAGACCAGTGACCGAACTTTTGAGGGGGTCCCGGACCCCAACCGCCAAACGGTGCGCGCATGGCAGCCACGCCCATATTTGGTCCAAATTAGGCCCAATTTAGCCAAATACCCTGAACATGCCCAAAACCAAGGTTTATGGTGCTCTACTTGTAGCTAGTGGTCTCCTGAACTCGTATATGAAATTTCATCAAGATTGGACGAAAAATGACTGAGTTATGAGCCAAAAACCATATGCCCATATTTGGGCATACGCACCAAATTTGGTAGATTTCGGCCCATAAATTGGTCAAATATCAATATTTTTGAATGAAACTTACTTTATATGAAAGGTAAGCCTAAACTACATATTATCTGTAAGTTATAGCTTTATATCTGTTTAAATGTGGATACTAAGGCGAAAAAACCACAAAAAATGAACTAAATTGCCCATATCTCGGTTCGCGATATTTGCGGAATTGATCTCATTAAAATTGTAACAACTCAATCAGTTTTCAAAATTTTTGCATGAAATTTTCGGAATCGACTCGAAATCGCATTTCCACCTTATTTTAAATACGGATTTTTGATTTAGGCCTCCAAAAAAATTTGGCGGCCAAATTCTGAATTTTTGTGAGATAATTTTGGAATTTGGCCGCCAAATTTTGGCTCATAACTCAGTCATTTTTCGTCCAATCTTGATGAAATTTCATATACGAGTTCAGGAGACCACTAGCTACAAGTAGAGCACCATAAACCTTGGTTTTGGGCATGTTCAGGGTATTTGGCTAAATTGGGCCTAATTTGGACCAAATATGGGCGTGGCTGCCCTGCGCGCACCGTTTGGCGGTTGGGGTCCGGGACCCCCTCAAAAGTTCGGTCACTGGTCTTAGTTTGTTGGTCAACTACTATCTCGAAATCAAGTTTCACAAAAAAATATCCATTGGCCCCCCCCCCCCCCCCCCCCCTTAATACAGACTAAGTTTGAACATGATTTTACCGAATTTCAGAAATTTCCTTACTGCTTACTGTCACAAAAAATGATGAAAAATACCCTTATTTTCTGTGACGTCCGAAATTTGACGGTTTTTGTTCAATTTCGCCAAAATTTCGGTCGTCGCAAATTAGGCCGCCATAAATATGTCTTGTAAGGTAGTCAAGCAGCAACTCAGGTTATTATGATACATCGTACATTAATTACTATTTAAAACTCTCCAAACTAAAAGGCACAAACCTAAGAAATAGAAGACGTAGCTACTATCTGGCATGAGGAATCTGGTTGGTTTGGGGAGACTGACGAGCGGGTAAAACTCTCTGTGGGACACAATACCTGCCGCTGAGACATTAACAAATTAGTTTAAATTAGTTAATATGTTAGTAAGAGCGTATCTATAACACAGGGCTTATAAAACCCAAAAGATGGTGATTTAAATTAAAAACAGAAGATATAACACGCACCAGTCTCTCATTCTATAAACTTACTAGCTAATAAGCCCCATATACAAGCTGGTATAGAGCACAAGCACAGCACAATCCTGTAGAGGTTCAGGTATTTACTCTTATTCTTCATGATACCTCTGAATCCAATGAGGCATGCAGGAAATGTAGCCAGCCATAGTACCTGCAAGAAAATACCACTTTCAGTTCAGTCCATCTAAGAGTTGATGAATCCAGATTTTTGGAACATTTTTGGAACATTTTTGGAACATGTGCCAAAATTGTGCCAAAAGTGTGCCATGCATTTATTTGCCCTAATGAGCTCTAAATAGTGCCAAAAATAATTGTAAATGATGGATATATTTGCAAGCTAGGTCTAGGGGCCATCGAAAGTAGCATAACATTACCCAGGTTCATGGAATGAACGAAAATGAACAAAAATGAATATTGTCCTAAAAATGCTCAGAACGGTTTAAAATTGGTCGGAAAGTGTTTATATTAGTCCTAGGACCACTCAAACCAAGTTTGGGAATCACTGCATGTCTAGAACCGATGTTACCAATGTTCCAAAATGTTCCAATTTTGTCACAATAATCCTCCTGAGAATCCAGATTTTTGGAACATGGGCACATCGAAGTATTGGCTGTATTTAAGTGTTCGGAAGCCTCAATTCGGTTTTCTAAGATGGATATAGGTAAAAACTAGGCCTAAGAGCCATCAAAACTCAAATAGCATTACCCAGGTTCATGGAATGAACGAAAATGAACAAAAATGAATATTGTCCTAAAAATGCTCAGAACGGTTTAAAATTGGTCGGAAAGTGTTTATATTAGTCCTAGGACCACTCAAACCAAGTTTGGGAATCACTGCATGTCTAGAACCGATGTTACCAATGTTCCAAAATGTTCCAATTTTGGCACAATAATCCTCCTGAGAATCCAGATTTTTGGAACATGGGCACATCGAAGTATTGGCTGTATTTAAGTGCTGGGAAGCCTCAATTCGGATTTCTAAGATGGATATAGGTAAAAACTAAGCCTAAGAGCCATCAAAACTCAAATAACATTACCCAGGTTCATGGAATGAACGAAAATGAACAAAAATGTATATTGTCCTAAAAATGCTCAGAACGGTTTAAAATTGGCCGGAAAGTGTTTATATTAGTCCTAGGACCACTCAAACCAAGTTTGGGAATCACTGCATGTCTAGAACCGATGTTACCAATGTTCCAAAATGTTCCAATTTTGTCACAATAATCCTCCTGAGAATCCAGATTTTTGGAACATCATGGGCACATCGAAGTATTGGCTGTATTTAAGTGCTGGGAAGCCTCAATTCGGTTTTTTAAGATGGATATAGGTAAAAACTAGGCCTAAGAACCATCAAAACTCAAATAACATTACCCAGGTTCATGGAATGAACGAAAATGAACAAAAATGAATATTGTCCTAAAAATGCTCAGAACGGTTTAAAATTGGTCGGAAAGTGTTAATATTAGTCCTAGGACCACTCAAACCAAGTTTGGGAATCACTGCATGTCTAGAACCGATGTTACCAATGTTCCAAAATGTTCCAATTTTGTCACAATAATTCTCCTGAGAATCCACATTTTTGGAACATGGGCACATCGAAGTATTGGCTGTATTTAAGTGCTGGGAAGCCTCAATTCGGTTTTCTAAGATGGATATATCCGTAAGCTAGGCCTAGGAGCCATCAAAGTCGTATAAAATTACCCATGAAATGACCAGAAATGAACGAAAATGAACATTCTTCTCAAAGTGCTCAGAATGGTTTAAAATTGGTCGGAAAGTGTTTATATTGGGCCTAGGACCACTCAAACCAAGTTTGGGAATCACTGCATGTCTAGAACCGATGTTACCAATGTTCCAAAATGTTCCAATGGGGGGGAGTAATGACTACTTTTGGGGACTTGGGGAATTACGTCAACGATTTTACCCCGAGTCCCCATGATTTTTAGTCCCCATTAGTCCCCAAAAGTCTCCATTAGTCCCCATTTAGATTTCAAAAAATCTGGCTTCTCCAGACCAGATCGTAAACTTCTCAAGACTGAAGTCAAGAATATTTATCAATGATCACTGGACATTCCTGACTTCTTGGGAGCTACTTGAGTGCTGTTAGAGTACCTCAGGTAAATTAAGGGAGGGGGCGGATTTCCACATGAGTGTTGATGAGGCCAAAATCGGAAAAATCGGAAAATTGAGAAACTTACAGAATCGATCTCAAAAACCTCTCAAAAGGGATATAAGTCCTCCTCCTCCTTAGTCTTCCTCCTCCTCCTGAGTCCTCCTCCTCCTCCTCCTCCGATCCTTCTCAGTCCTCCTCCTCTTCAGTCCTCCTCCTGACTCCTCTTCCTCATCCTCCTCCACCTCCTGAGTCCACCTCCTGAGTCCACCTCCTTCTCCTCCTCATCCTCCTCCTCCTCCTCCTTCTCATCCTCCTCCTCCTCCTCCTCCTCCTCCTCCTCCTCCTCGTTCTTCCTCTTCCTTCTCCTCCTCTTTCTTCTCCCTATCAGTCCTCCTCCTCAGTCCTCCTCATAGTCGACCTCGTCCTTAGTCCTCGTCCTCGTCCTCCTCCTGGGTCCTCCTCCTGAGTCCTCCTCCTTCTCCTCCTCCTCCTCCTCCTCCTACTCCTCCTACTCCTCCTCATTCCTCCTCTTCCTTCTCCTCCTCCTTCTCCTTTTCCTTCTCCCTATCAGTCCTTCTCCTCAGTCCTCCTCACCCTCCACCTTAGTCCTCATTCCTCCTCCTCCCCCTCAGTCTTACTCCCAGTACTCCTCCTCCTCCTCCTCCTCCTCCTCCTCCTCCTCCTCCTCCTCCTCCTCCTCCTCCTCCTCCTCCTCCTCCTCCTCCTCCTCCTCCTCCTCCTCCTCCTCCTCCTCCTCCTCCTCCTCCTCCTCCTCCTCCTCCTCCTCCTCCTCCTCCTCCTCCTCCTCCTCCTCCTCCTCCTCCTCCTCCTCCTCCTCCTCCTCCTCCTCCTCCTCCTCCTCCTCCTCCTCCTCCTCCTCCTCCTCCTCCTCCTCCTCCTCCTCCTCCTCCTCCTCCTCCTCCTCCTCCTCCTCCTCCTCCTCCTCCTCCTCCTCCTCCTCCTCCTCCTCCTCCTCCTCCTCCTCCTCCTCCTCCTCCTCCTCCTCCTCCTCCTCCTCCTCCTCCTCCTCCACCTGAAGCAGCTTGATCTCTACTTCCTACAGCGCCGCCGCGAGAGGTACACGATCATCCTTGTCTGGAAAATTTACTACGGTGAGATTCCCAACAGTGTAAACATTACTTTCCAACACTCTCAAAGAAGAGGAGTTACATGTCTTCGTCCTCTTGGCGGAGTAAAATACAAAAGCACCAACACCATGAGGTTTCATTCTTAACCTTCAGTGGCCTCTGCTTTGTATAACGCTGTGCCTCACGACATCAAGTCTATCCCAACCTTGCCAAAAATCCTCCTCCTCAGTCCCCAGTCCTTCTCCTACTCGTCAGTCCTCATCCTGAGTTCTCCTTCTCCTACTCCTAAGTCTTCCTCCTCGTCAGTCCTCCTCCTCCTCGTCAGTCTTCCTCCTCCTCCTCCTCATCCTAATCAGTCCTCAGTCCTCCTCATCCTCCTCAGTCCTCTTCCTCAGTCCTCCTCCTCCTCCTCCTGCACGTCAGCCCTCCTCCTCCTCCTCCTCAGTCCCCAGTCCTTTTCCTACTTGTCAGTCCTCATCCTCCTCATCCTCCTCCTCCTCCTCAGTCACCAGTCCCCCTTCTCCTCCTACTCCTAAGTCCTCCTTCTCCTCCTCCTCTTCTTTCTCATCAGTCCAGCCCCAGTCTTCCTTCTCCTCTTCCTTCTCATCAGTCCTCCCCCAGTCTTCCTTCTCCTCTTCCTCATCCTCAGTCCTCCTCGTCATCCTCGTCATCAGTGTTCTTTCTCCTCCTTATCCTCGTCATCAGTCCTCTTCCTGATCCTCCCCCAGTCTCCTTCTCCTCCTCCTCCTCTTCACTCCTCCTTAGTCCTCCCCCAGTCCTCCTCCTCAGTCGTCCTCCTCCTAAGTCGTCCTCCTCCTCAGTCGTCCTCCTCCTCAGTCGTCCTCCTCCTCAGTCGTCCTCCTCCTCAGTCGTCCTCCTCCTCAGTCGTCCTCCTCCTCAGTCGTCCTCCTCCTCAGTCGTCCTCCTCCTCGTCCTTAGTTCTCGTCCTCATCCTCCTAGTCCTTGTCCTTAGTTCTCGTCCTCATCCTCCTAGTCCTCGTTCTCGTCCTCCTCAGTCTTCCTCAGTCCTCCTCCTCCTCCTCCTCCTCCTCAGTCATCTTGCTCCTCAGTCCCCAGTCCTCTTCTACTCGTCAGCCTTCTCCTCATCATCCTCCTCCTCATCAGTCCTCCTCCTCCTTCAATCTCCTCCTCAGTCCTCCTCCTCAGTTCTCCTCCTCCTTCTCCTACTCCTAAGTCTTCCTCCTCGTCAGTCCTCCTCCTCCTCGTGAGTCTTTCTCCTCCTCCTCCTCCTCCTCCTCTCCAGTCCTTTTCCTCCTCCTCATCCTCCTCAGTCCTCAGTTCTCCTTATCCTCCTCAGTCCCCTTCCTCTGTCCTCCTCCTCAGTCCTCCTCCTCAGTCCCCAGTTCTTCCTTGGAAGTTCAGACTGACAGCACGGGTAGAGATCAGAGCTTAAGTTCCCCCCCCCCCCCCCCCCCCCTAATATGCAATATGGTACAACATTAAATTAGATAGTTCCACCCTGTTAGATCATTGCTTTTCTCTATTTGATAGTGTTTATGGACCACATTCTCCATGTAATACACTCAAATAAACATAAAAGTACTGTGCAAGTAGTCAGATAATATCATTTAAGCACTTAGCATATATCAAACTTGATGAAATTGAAGTTAATTCTAGGGCCCCAAAAGGCCCCACACAATACACATATCGAAATCCATAAAGGGCCCTAGAAATCGGGGCTTTTTGGGGCCTTTTGACCCTGACCACTATTTGATAGTGTTTATGGACCATAATCTCCATGTAAATACACTCAAATAAACATAAAAGTACTGTGCAAGTAGTCAGATAATATCATTTAAGCACTTAGCATATATCAAACTTGATGAAATTGAAGTTAATTCTAGGGCCCCAAAAGGCCCCAACATGAACACATATTCAAAATCCGAAAAGGGCCCTAGAAATCGGGGCCTTTTGGGGCGTTGGCCCCCCCCCCCCCCCCCTATCAATTTTTCTTATTACTTTTCTATTGATTTGTCTGAAATGATATGCTCAGTAATTTGAAATTGGCGTTGGTTTCTTTTGTTTTTGACGATCATTTATGGAAATATTCACAAAAGAGTGCTTGTCAGTGCTTAAAATAAAGATCACCCAAGTCTGTTCACAGAACGGCTGTTATAAATACTCATACACCCATCATCTAACATCTTTAAGTGTATTAGGAGGGTAAGTCGAAGGGTTAATTCATGATTTTTCAGCGAGTCGGCTACTTCTACCTTCACGAGAGCTAAACTTCAATTAACCTCAATTTGAATTGACTTGTACAGTGGTAGAACACATTACAACCGGGCTTATCATTTTACCTTTAAGTCAGATTTATCCTACTCTTATCTTGGACAAAACATCTCGATCGTTATCGTTATTAAACTAACTTGAAAACCATGAATAACTGTCAAAAATTCTGGGGACTTATGGGGACAAATCGTGAATTACGTCAACGAGTTGACCTCTAGTCCCCATGATTTTTAGTCCCCATTAGTCCCCGAAAGTCTCCATTGGTAGTCATTACCCCCCCCCCCCCCCCCCCCCCCCGTTCCAATTTTGTCACAATAATTCTCCTGAGAATCCAGATTTTTGGAACATGGGCACATCGAAGTATTGGCTGTATTTAAGTGCTGGGAAGCCTCAATTCGTTTTTCTAAGATGAATATAGGTAAAAACTAGGCCTAAGAGCCGGAGCCATCAAAAGTCAAATAATATTACCCAGGTTCATGGAATGAACGAAAATGAACAAAAATGGATATATGTCCTTAAAATTCTCAGAACGGTTTAAAATTGGTCGGTAAGTGTTTATATTGGTCCTAGGACCACTCAAACCAAGTTTGGGAATCACTGCATGTCTAGAACCGATGTTACCAATGTTCCAAAATGTTCCAATTCGAGTGGTCTTAGGACCAATACAAACACTTTCCGACCAATTTTAAACCGCTCTGAGCAATTCCAAAGAGTTTACGAAAGAGTCATAAGGCCAATCAACAGACTATTCATTTACTGTATTGTTAAGATGGTTCGGTATTCTGCACCCCTCGTATCGGTTCTGGGCATGCAGTGATTCCATAAACAGTCAGACAGTCACACAATGTACACCCTATATTTAGATCACATCAGTTTCATTTGTATCACATCACTTCGTGTAATAGATGTGTGGAAGCAAATAAAGATGTGATCTGAATAAGGTGATCCGAGCGTAGCAAGGTTATCCGATCTTATTTGGTGTGATCGGATGTAGAGGCGTAAGATCAGATCAGGTCATCAGCAATAGGATTAACTTAGCAAGCTTGTTAATGAATAAGAAGAGAATAAATAGATAATTAAGTTATACAAATCATTTTCCCTCTCTGTTAACCACAACAACTACAACGACAATGAATCCCTTCACTAAATTGATGAGCCTACCTCTTTATCTACCAGTTCAAAGAAGCACCAGCAGTCCACCTCACTCAACCAACCCCTTCACCAGCAACCTTCATCCCTCAACCAACTCATTCACCACCAGCCTACCTAACGCAACCAACCCCTTCACCAGCAACCTACCTCGCGCCGCTCAACCAACCCTTTCACCTGCAACCTTCATCCCTCAACGAACAAATACAGCTAATGATGTCAAAAATTTATATCAATATATTGGGGGATTATTAAAACGAAAATAGTTGCCCAATAAAATAATTTCTGCCTTCTCTTGGAGGTACGTGTGCTAATTGTACATAATTCTGAATGCAACTTTAAGACTCTGTTGGACGAAAATATTGACTCTTTGCCACCATTTTCTTACCATTCTGAGCGCTTTAAGGAAAATTTTCATTTTTGTTCATTTTCGTTCATTCCATGAACCTGGGTAATGTTATTTGACTTTTGATGGCTCTTAGACCTAGTTTTTACCTATATCCATCTTAGAAAACCGAATTGAGGCTTCCCAGCACTTAAATACAACCAATACTTCGATGTGCCCATGTTCCAAACATCTGGATTCTCAGGAGGATTATTGTGCAAAAATTGGAACATTTTGGAACATTGGTAACATCGGTTCTAGACATGCAGTGATTCCCAAACTTGGTTTGAGTGGTCCTAGGACTAATATAAACATTTTCCGACCAATTTTAAACCGTTTTGAGCATTTTTAGGACAATATTCATTTTTGTTCATTTTCGTTCATTCCATGAACCTGGGTAATGTTATTTGAGTTTTGATGGCTCTTAGGCCTAGTTTTTACCTATATCCATCTTAGAAAACCGAATTGAGGCTTCCCAGCACTTAAATACAGCCAATACTTCGATGTCCCCATGTTCCCAAAATGGTTACAAAAATCAAAATTGGAACCACCTTCACATCGGTTCTAGACATGCAGTGATTCCCAAACTTGGTTTGAGTGGTCCTAGGACCAATGTTAACACTTTCCGACCCATTTTAAACCATTCTGAGCACTTTGAGAATAATGTTCATTTTCGTTCATTTCTGGTCATTCCATGGGTAATTTTATACGACTTTTGATGGCTCCTAGGCCTAGCTTACGGCTATATCCATCTTAGAAAACCGAACTGAGCCTTCCCAGCACTCAAATACGGCCAATACTGCGATGTGCCCATGTTCCAAATTTATGGATTCATCTACTGCCATTACATCTAAGGGAAGTAATTGAAAGTGGCGTACTGATCCACTGCACGTTGCTACTTTCGCGCAATATCCGTAAAGCCGCGCACCACAAATGTGAGCTGACTCCGTTTTGGTCCACGAAAATGACACCGCGCGCCACAAACCCACGACCATTCATCTGTGACCGCGCGAATAACAGGTAGGAGAACTTGAAAAACCAGTTTTTTAAAGAATGACCGATCTACTATTGGAGATTGGAGACGTGTAACCGAAATTTACCTGCCAAATGTAGAGACAGTTGATGCCAGCAATAACAGCAGTTGCAAACATAGACGTTCCAAGCATTCCATGGTAGATTAATGTTCGCTTCATCGCATTCTTGTACTTGACACTCGTTACATACTGCACAGCAACCTGTCGAGTTTTAAATGCTTTATAAGACAAAAAGAGGTTAAATTGAGGGTGACAATCAGCCATAACAAGGTAATCAGTTCAAGCAAAACAAACGCTTACTATGCAGCTAGCTAATCAAGAATACTAGGAAACTATCGGCTGAGAATCTTCTGTTCATCCTAGAATAGTCAAAAAGGCATAAATGAGAAAGGCTTCAAACCACGCAAATATTACAATCATAATTAGCCAACAGGCATGAAAACAGCATACTGAACACTATAAACAGTGAACGTCACGATTAGTGTAAGACATCTATTCGCGAATAATCTAGATGATGAACCAAAAATACGTCGTCACTAAATTAGTAAACTCTTGTCAAATCCAAACATAACTCTAAGCATTGACACACGTTATTAGGAAAATGTCACTAAGAATAATAAGTGCCATTGAAAATACAGCATTGCTACGAATTTGAATGCCACTACCAAAATAGACAAGGGTGTTTTACAGCGAGACAGAACACGGAAAAGACATAATGACAATTTGGTAGAGGAACGGGAGGTTCTGCATTTGGGGGTAAAACAATCGGGGGTGGAGGCCGGAGGGTGTCATCGACATTCAATTGGCGAAAACCAAAATCTTTCAAACAAATGGCAGATGACGTTGACACCCAGTCAATTCAAATTGCAACTAATCTGCTGTCATGCAGATTTACAAAATATGCAAATGCGAATCGCCGTCCCACCAACATTCAATGACATTTTAGATAAAAGATAAACCATAATGTTACAATGTCAGTGGCGAAACGATATCTTATACCATCCATGTTATAACTCCCACCCCTTCAAGCATACTATATTTTATTTTACATCCTACATCTCCAAGATATTTCTCTGAAATGAAACATGATACACTACTTAAACTTAAACTTAAACTGGTAATTTGCCTATATTTGTATATTCGTATATAGACGTAGTGGATGGTTGAGCTTGTTTCATGCACAGGTCGACCCTGAGCTCAAATTTAATGATAAGCAATGACATTGGGCACTTGAAACCTCCTCAAGCCTCCATTCATTTATTTACTATAAGTTTATTGTTAAGCAGCAGCTGCTGCATGATTGGTACATAGAAATTGTTTGATTGTGCCTTAAAAATAAATAATTGATTTATGTAATAATTGTTTTACCAAAATTCAACTTTTTTGGCATAATCTTTTACCGCTTGTTATTTCTTGACAAATTTAAAAATTTCATTCGTGCTATTCTTTTTTTCCCAATTCCCCCTCTACTCGTACAACCCTAGACGGAGTGAGTACAGTCGTTACATCACGTGACAGTCGTTACATCACGTGACAAGTATAAAATCTGACAGTTAAATGAAAGAAACACAGCAAAAGGAAAGAACAGTGGTACCTACATTATTTGCTTCCTTCATTAGACGCCTCTAAAACAAAACACATATCACACAGTTAAATAGATAAAAAACTAGAATTCAGCCAAACTTAGTGAAGATCAAACAAGTGAAGTGTCACAAAATGAATGCCAACTTTAAATTTCTTGAGAAGCGCCAGGGATTGCAAGAGAAGTGTTTGGTATTATATTTTATTCCTCATTTTGAAGCGTTTCCCGAGAATATTGGATTTGGAATCATGCTGTGACACACTAATATACTAATAATCTACATTTTTTTAATGTTTTTATATTAACATTAATAACTTACCTTTTCTCTGTGCTTCCAATCTGATCCATCCGTGCCTTCAGCTCGTGGTCCAGAACTTGAAGACATTCTACAAATGAGTTTAATTAGTGTCATTATCTAATTAATTAATTAGCATCTTTAATATCTAACTGTTCTACATATGTGTAACGTAAGTATCTGGATATAAAAAATAAGAAAGTAAGTAAATAAAGTTTTAGCTACCAATTAGAAAAGTTCCTATAATCTTAGATTACTGTCTTGCACTGAAAGAAGATCAAGAATCTATAATTCAATTGATATAAATCCAAACATTATAAACATAATCATTTTACACAGCATCTTTATTTTCAACAGTAATATACCACTAAGCTACTAATAAGTTAAACCTTTGCGTGATTATATTTATAGTCCAGTATTTGTGAGGGTGGGGCACGCGGGGTAACTACAGAATTAAAAACGGGAAATTCAATTTATAACTCAAAATCTACTCTGAATATGAGTTAATCTATTTAGTCACAGAAAACCCAAGAAAACAGTTTTTGTAACCTGAAATTGGTTAAATTTGACCTAATTTCATGAATTTCAGATATCAGTCTGAAAAATGTCACCGGCTACACTTCGCATTTGTATAAAACATTTCCAAAAAGAATCTCGAAGGTGAAAGTGAAAGTGATATAAGGAGTTATAAATGCCCTTTCTCTTTCAGTTTCTCCATTAATGTAGAAACGTCGGGAACTTTGTCACCTGCTTGTCTTACAGGAGGATCAACTACGTTCAAAATCTGAAATTAGGAGTTGAAGTGAATATTATGAATGAAATCAAGTTTTATACAGCACTAAGCACAAGTGTATACTGTATAAGTATATAATAGTTAATTACTTTGAAAACCTCTAATAAAACAATGTTCCTCGCTTCTTGGGTCGGGAAAATGGACGGTAGAGATAAACTTTATATTATGTAATAAATAGTATTTAATTAAACATATATAATTTACCTTCAATCGTGGGGTAATGTCGACACCTAAGCTCGCTGGGTCCATCTTTGCAATCTTCTTCTTTTTAGCCTTCATGATATTAGGAAGAGTAGCATACCTGGGCTCATTCAACCGCAGATCTGCAGAAATTACAGCGGGCAGTGACACTGAAATATCCTCAAGTCCTGAAATATTTGAAGTGAGATTTGCAGAAATTACACAGAAATATCCTCCAGTTCTGAAATATTTGGAGAGAGATTTGCAGAAATTACACTGAAATATCCTCCAGTCCTGAAATATTTGAAGTGAGATTTGCAGAAATTACACTGAAATATCCTCCAGTCCTGAAATATTTGAAGTGAGAAAATTATACTACGTATTCAATGTTCGTTGTAACTTGTTATGTATGCTTTTTGGAACTATTATTATAGACTTTTAGCGTGCAAAGTGGCTGGCCGATGTTCAAATTATTACAGCACATGAGCGTCTGTTATGATACACTGGAATCTTGCTTGTGCTTCAACAAAATTTTTCTTAAAACTCTTTCGAAAAACAATAGAAAGCAATTACTAACTTAGGATACAGTAAAACCGATACAGTAAAAAAACTATCAACAACTTAACTTAGGATACGAATATTTATGTTTGTTGTTTATAAAGAAACAAAAAGCTTGATAGAATATTTGGACATGGATTGCAATTAAACCCTCGTTCTGGTGGACTCACCTCCGTCAATTTCCCTAGTGATAGTAAGGGCTCCATCCCCCGCACTAACCACACTAGCCATGGTACCCTGGGGCCAGTCCAGAATTCCTGCTAGTAATTGCGTTGTCTGGTTCGCATCGTCGTCTATAGCCTGAAAATGTCATGTTAAACAAGATCACGTGATCACGTTGTCACGTTATAGTTAGTTTATATAGCATAGGTTGTAACTCGTACAGCAAATAGTTACACTGAGAACTCTCTTAAAGTACAAAACGGTCACCTGTTTTCCCAGGATAACAAGATCTGGTTTTTCCTGCTCAACCAATGCAGCAAATATCTTGGCGACTCCCAGAGGTTGTAGGTTAGCATCCGTACCGGCTGGGACCTCAACATGGATACCACGATCTGCTCCCATTGCCAGAGCTGAAATAATTATATAATCATGTAATTGATAATTGTAATCAAGGAAACTGTAAATAAATACAAAAGTTCAAACTTTGTGCATTACATTACGGAAGATAATTAATTGATAACAACAATTAGTGAATATGTGACTTGGTTTTACTAAGTAACCCACACGTATTTTCACTGAGTCTGACCTGTTCTGATAGTTTCTTGAGCCTGTGGAGGCCCGCAGCTTGCTACGATTATCTCCTTAACTATCTTCTTCTGCTTCATCCGCACAGCTTCTTCTATTGCGTTCTCATCAAAGGGGTTCATGGAGTGTTTAACCCCATCTGTCACTACACCTGGAGGGAGTTTCAAGATTAATAAACGTTAATTTTATCAATTATTTACTAATTTATTGTGATTTGCAGCAGTACATAATATCAACTTTAACTCTGATTAATAGCATGTAATATAGGGTTATATAGGGTTATTCGTAATATAGGGTTATTCTCTTGGAATAACATTAAAATATCGATTAAGTTTTAAACGTTAAATAGCAAAAACGTATTTAGAGAGTTACAGATCATTTCCCAAATTAGACTTCAATTTATCTGTATCATTTACCGAGACTATCTGGACGAACTCTGATCTTTACAGCATAGTCGATAACTCTTTTGACGCCCACTAACACCCTTAGCCCGGACATCCTTGAAAATAGGACATTGTGAATGTCTTGGATTTTACAATCACCAAATATGAGGAAGTACCTTTTATGTTTCTTAACTTGATGATATTGTTGGTTATTAGAAATGTCTACGTGTAAGGAATTCGCAAGTTTTAATTGCTGTTTTCCAGCAGAAAAAGTCAAAGTCATTTTAAAGCTTTCACATTTCAACATTCAATAATTTTATCCAAATCAAAATTATTATAACCACCTAAAATAATTTTAATAATGGTGCTATAATTTTAAAATCAACATACAGTATAACACTGATAGTATTCTCAGAAAATTTAGAAGAGAATATAAGGCCACTGGTAATATGAATGCAGTAGCACGGTAAATCAGGGTTAGACGATATACCATTCAAGGAACATTACGGTAATCAATTTAATTAAAATCGTACAAAACAATAATTTCAATTCCTCTAAATTGGGACAGTGTGTTTGATCAAATTATTTAAAAGTAAGTGAAACTTAAAAACACATATCACACATACAAATACTTAAAAACACTTAAAAACACATATAATCACACTTATTTATTTATTGTTCTTAACTAATGTGATATCTGAAATTTAACTTATGCTATTAATAGCATGTAAAAGTATCTGAGAAAATTAATAAAAACATCAACAATATCCATGTTATTAATTGCATTTTAGATAATTGCAATTCTCAAGTCATAGTTAACTTATGAAATGAACCTGGGGTTCAGTTTAAGTTTGACCCCATCAAGGGGTCTAGCAGTGATCAGTCCATCAGTTTCCAAATCTGTGACTTCAGGGTAAGGGTTTTCTATGTCAAACTCTTGCACAACTCGAGAGATGATCATTTTTGCTTCCAGCATAGCAAAGTTTTTGCCAATACAACTCCTTGGTCCAGCCATGAATGGTAAATATGAGAAGCTTTTAACCTTGGATCCAGATGAAAAACGTTCAGGATTGAAAACTTCTGGCTTGTCCCAATGTCTTGAATCGTGGTGAAGTGCCATAATGGGTATAAAGATATCCGCTCCTTTAGGAATATTCAGGCCATTCACAGAGACATTATCTTTAGCACAGACCCGCCCAACACCTCGAACAGGAGGCTTCACTCTCATACATTCTTTGATGACCATCTGCATATAAACTAACTTATTGACATCTTCAAATTCCAGCATTTGGCCTCGTTCAGCAACACTGTCTATCTCCTCTCTAACTTTAGAGAGGATTTCATTGTTGTTAGCTAGATAGAAGAGTGTAATTGCCATGGTTATGGCAGTTGTTTCCATTCCAGCTATAAGAAAGACTAAATAATCATCTACCAAATCATCTATAGTAAGCTGATCTGAGCATTTATTGCTTTGGATGATGTGTGATAAGATATCAGAGCTATCAAGTGCATCAGAGTTCATTCTATCCTGAAGATGTCGTTTAACAACTTCTCTCACAATAGGAACTCTGTCTTTTAAAGCTTTCTTTTCTTGGCGATATTTCCAGGGGTAATTAAAATTTCTATCCCTCAGAGTTAGTGACATACCTTGAAGGATGAGAGGTGATGTTTCAACAACAAGTCCTCCGTGCATTGCTACAACATCTGAATCCATATTAAATCCACAAATAGATATTGCTTCAAAGGCACTACGATTCATATCTAAACTTACATCAATGATACCTTCTTTAACTCGTGTGCTCAGAACTCCCAATAAGTTGTTAACTACCGTATTCATGCCAGGCAAAATTGACTTCATAAATGATTTATGAAAACCTGGGTCCATAGCTCTTCTTTTGGTATTCCAAACCTCAGTGCCTGGATCACTTAAGAGACCATAGTTTCCGAATATTCTTACCCCACCAACACTTGAAAATGTTTTCTGATATTGTAAATCCTTTGGAAATGTCTTGTAGTCAGCTAAAACTTTTGCTAATATATCTAACTCCACACAATATATCACGTTTGAAGTGAATAATGGGAGCACAAAGAGATCCCATCCATACTCTTGCGAAAATTCCATGATTGCATGACCACCAGAGACATATTGAGATTTATTGACTCTTCTTTGAAATTCAGGCAAAAGTCCAAGAAACCATGTAAGAGTCCCAGGTATTGGCGGAGATTTTATGTGGTAAAACTTTCTTCTAATATTGTAAATGTAAGCATTGAGGAACAGATAGCTAAGAATGCATAGTAGGACTATTGGCAGAATGAGCATCACTTTCTGGATAACACTGAGACTTGAGAGATATGAGCTATCCTGAATTTTAATGAAGATCAGATAAATAACTTTGTTTACTACAAGAATGTTCACCATATTTAAGCAACATCGACTGAAATAACCAGAAAAAGAGGGCATAAATTATCCTTATTGAAAAAAATTAACCAAAAGCTGATTGTGAGACATGTCAGTTAGTTTTTTCAGACTTCTGACGGCCTTAGAGGGTTTGAGGGACTTGCCTTCTGCCAACGATATATATTTCAGAAGAGTCTTCCTGCTGTGTATTGTCCAACATTAGATGGGAATTAGGCAGTTGCCCAAGCATGTGCAGGGATTATTAGTTTAGAGACATTTTGATTTTTTAAAAGAGAAAAAGCTACCCATGTAGTTGAGACACCTCACAACAAGTAGACCACGTCCAAAAATGGCGTTTCTCTTGTATCAAATATACTTGAAAATATATCATTCATACTAAAATCAATGAAACAAGAAATTCAATGAAATAAGAAATTTAATTTTAGCACATTTTTACAGAATAAAAAGATGTAAAACAATTCATAAAATATAATGCCCATTTGGTGTATGGCTTTTTGTCCTTGACTGCTAGTTTGGTTTTGGAAGGACATGTAACTAACGGGGCAAGGAATGCGCGTGCCTGGAAGCTTTTGCACACACTGAAACGCTAGTTCAGTTAAGTTTTCAGAGACATGGCTCATATTAGGACTAGAAGAAAAATTGTTAGCAGACATTAGGGGTTCTGTTTATAGTTGTTACTATAGGTTGCAGTCTTGTTGTGACAAAAAGTCTACACTAAAACATGCTTTAGTTTATATTTTGTAGATCAAGGATTTAAGATGCAGCTTCAAGGTGGATATTGGAGAGCTGGCGAGAGATTATGGCCTTTGTATCAATGGTTATAATAAGCTATAAAAATCTTAAACTACGGGTATATGGCCCCCAGAATATAGGTCGTTTTTTGAGCACTTAGAAACAGGTGTTAAAACTACTTCTAAGCATGTTTAGGGCTGTAAATATGTACATAATAACCCTTTAAATGTTTCTTGGGTAGTTGAAAATAATTATTAGGTTTTTAAGTGTACTTTATTTTCACCTGTAAAAATACCATTTTTTAACAGGGCCCCCAGAATATAGGTCCAAACATCTGTTCCTAAGTTGTTCTAAAATTGTCACAGACAGTTATATGCAGTCAGAATATGTTGCTGAGACTGTATTAATGATGCCAATGGCTCCAGATACTAAATTGAAATGGTTTAGAGTATACTTAATAGCAAAAAATCAAAAACTACGGCCCCCAGAATATAGGTATGCAAAAATCGTCCTCAAATACTCCACCTTCATACATTTTGATGATGCCATCTCTTCAGCATATGTTCTTTAACTGTTTCTCATCACTACCCCACATTCCTTAATGCTCAGGGTGACAGAGAAAATGCAGAATCTTGGTCGCTATTTTTTTTTTTAAACCTATATTCTGGGGGCCATATACCCGTAATGAGTAAAATCTTTAATTTTACTAGTTAAAAAGCTTTCATGCACTCATTTAGTAGGGATCTTAACTAAATACTTAAATAGGATTGAAGGAGTGTCCCTAGATATGATTGAGGGGGGCTGTTTTTATCTGTATCAATACAATGTGCACCTCAATGACTGTAAATCAGACATTTTTGGCCGCCAAATTTTTTTAAAGGCCTAACTCAAAATTCTGTCCCAAAACTTAAGGTCATGAGACAATTCTACGTTGATTCTGAAAATTTCATGTGAAAATATTGAAACCCTATTTCAATAGGGGGGAGGGGGGGGGGGGGGGGGGGGGGGGGGGGGGGGGGCCGGGGGTGACATGTCTCCAATGTCTCCCGCACCTTATCTTTTCGAAAAAGACAAAGACATTGGAGACATTGGAGACACAGCTTTTGGAGACATTGGAGACATTGGAGACACAGCTTTTGGAGACTCCTCCTCCTCCTCCTCCTCCCCCTCAGTCCTCCTCAGTCGTTCTCCTCCTCCTGAGTCTTCCTCCTGGGACCTTGGTCCTCCTGGTTCCTCCTCCGGACCTCCTGGGTCCTCCTCCGGACCTCATGGGTCCTCCTCTGGACCTCCTGGGTCCTCCTCCTCCTGGGTCCTCCTACTCCTCTTCATCATCCTCAGTCCTCCTCCTCATCCGTCTCGTCAGTCTTCCTCCTCCTCATCAGTCCTCCCCAAGTCCCCCTCCTCCTCAGTCCTCCCCCAGTCCCCATCCTCCTCCTATTCAGTCCTCATCCTCCTCCTCCTCAGTTCTCCTCAGTCCTCCTCCTTGTAAGTCCTCCTCCTGAGTCCTCCTCCTCTTCCTGAGTCCTCCTCCTCCTAGGTCCTCCTCCTTCTCCTCCTCCTCCTCAGTCCTTCTCCTCCTCCTCCTCCTCCCTCTCAGTCATCCTCCTCAGTCATCCTCCTCAGCCATCCTCCTCAGCCGTGCTCTTCAGCCATCCTCCTCAGCCATCCTCCTCAGCCATCCTCATCAGTCCTCCTCATCAGTACTCCTCCTCCTAGGTCCTCTTCCTTCTCCTCCTCAGTCCTTCTCCTCCTCCTCAGTCCTCCTCCTCCCTCTCAGTCATCCTCCTCAGCCATCCTCCTCAGTCCTCCTCCTCCTCCTCAGTCCTCATCCTCATCCTCCTCTTCAGTCCTCCTCCTCCTGGGTCCTCTTCATCCTCCTCCTCTTCCTCAGTCCTCCCCAGTCCCCCTCCTCCTCCTCCTATTCAGTCCTCCTCCTCCTCCTCCTCAGTTCTCCTCAGTCCTCCTCCTTCTCATTCCTCCTAAGTCCTCCTCCTGAGTCCTCCTCCTCTTCCTCCTGAGTCCTCCTCCTGGTTCATCCTCCTCTTAGTTCCTCCACCTTCTCCTTCTCCTCCTCAGTATTTCTCCTTCTCCTCCTCCTCCTCAGGCATCCTCTTCAGTACTCCTGAGTCCTCCTCCCTCTCAGTCCTCCTCAGTCCTCTTCCTGAGATCTCCTCCGCCTCCTGAGTCCTCCTTCTGGGTCCTCTTTCTCCTAGGTCCTCCTCTTTCTCCTCCTCAGTCCCACTCCTCCTCCTCAGTCCTCTTCCTCCTCCTCCCTCTCAGTCATCCTCCTCAGCCATCCTCCTCAGCCATCCTCCTCAGTCCTCCTCAGTCCTCATCCCTCCTCCTCCTGGGTCTTCCTCCTCTTCATCCTCCTCAGTCCTCAGTCCTCCTCCTCATCCTTCTCGTCAGTCCTCCTCCTCCTCAGTCCTCCCCAGTCCCCCTCCTCCTCCTATTCAGTCCTCCTCCTCCTCCTCAGTTCTCCTGAGTCCTCCTCCTTCTCATTCCTCCTAAGTCCTCCTCCTGAGTCCTCCTCCTGGTTCATCCTCCTCTTAGTTCCTCCACCTTCTCCTTCTCCTCCTCAGTCCTTCTCAGTCCTCCTCAGTCCTCTTCCTGAGATCTCCTCCTCCTCCTCCTGAGTCCTCCTTCTGGGTCCACCTCCTCCTAGGTCCTCCTCTTTCTCCTCCTCAGTCCTACTCCTCCTCAGTCCTCTTCCTCCTCCTCCCTCTCAGTCATCCTCCTCAGTCATCCTCCTCAGCCATCCTCCTCAGCCATCCTCCTCAGTCCTCATCTCTCCTCCTCCTGGGTCTTCCTCCTCTTCATCCTCCTCAGTCCTCAGTCCTCCTCCTCATCCTTCTCGTCAGTCTTCTTCATCCTCAGTCCTCCCCCAGTCCCCCTCCTCCTCCTATTCAGTTCTCCTCCACCTCAGTTCTCCTCAGTCCTCTTCCTTTTCAGTCCTCCTGAGTCCTCTTTCTCTTCCTCCTGAGTCCTCCTCCTGGGTCCTCATCCTCCTAGGTTCTTCTCCTTCTCCTCAGTCCTTCTTCTCCTCCTCCTCCCTGTCAGTCATCCTCCTCAGTCATACTCCTCAGTCATCCTCCTCAGTACTCCTCAGTCCTCCTCCTTCTCTGTCCTCCTCAGTCCTCTTCCTGAGTCCTCCTCCTGAGTCCTCCTCCTCCTCCTCCTGAGTCCTCCTCCTGGGTCCTCCTCCTCCTGGGTCCTTATCCTCCTAGATCCTCCTCCTCAGTCATCCTCCTCAGCCATCCTCCTCAGCCATCCTCCACAACCATCCTCAGTCCTCCTCCTTCTCAGTCCTCCTGAGTCCTCTTCCTGAGTCCTCATCCTCCTCCTTCTCCTCCTGAGTCCTCCTCCTGGGTCATCCTCCTCCTAGATCCTCCTCTTTCTCCAATCATACATCTACGTCTCCAGTGTCTCCAATATCTCCAAAAGCTTTGTCTCCAATGTCTCAAATGTCCCCAATGTCTCCAATGTCTCCAAAAGCTGTGTCTCCAATGTTTCCAATGTCTCCAGGACATGTCTCTGCACCCTATCTTTTCAAAAAAGACATT